AGAGCTCTCTGGAAGTCGGTGTTAGGCGTGGGACTGCTCACCCATCGTAGGCTGACCGCCCAACCGCGTCCTGAGGGGAGACCACACTGTGGCCCGCAGTCTGGGGGTCGACATAGATCTCAGAGTCGTTTCTACCAGGGCTGTTCCCATTTCCGAAGCAGTGAATGCTGTCGAAGCTGTCCAGGCAGCAGCGCTTGTCCCAGCCCTCAGGGAAGATGTCAAAGCCGACCATGCCGCCTCGGGAGAACCTCAGCCCATTGCCTGCAAACTCCGCCTTCAGGGCTTCCACAAACTTCTCCCAGATCCTCTCCTTCTGCAGGGGGGAGGCGCAGAGCCAGGCTCCGTGCTGGGCACAAGGGGGCTTTTGGGGGCATGAGGCTCAGAGAGGGGCAGTGCCTGTTCAAGGTCATCCAGCCTCATTGGCAGAGCCAGATCCCTGGCAGTGGGGGTGTGGACTGGGCCTTCTGAAGGGGGCCTGAGAGGAAGGCGGAGGGGACAGGGCAGTCCGAGCCCCAGGTCCCAGTGTCCACCTGTCCAAGTTAGCACAGCAAACCGAAGCTCCGGGACTAGAAATGCCTGTGAGGAGCTGCGCAAAAGCCTTCGCGTGAGCGGCAGTGGGCGCGCACAGCTCACAGGCCTGGCCACAGCCACGACTGTGTTGGCTGCATGAACATTTCATGGGCTGGGCTGGGCAGGGGGACATTCTTGTGAGCCTGAAGATCCCTGTGGGCCATGGAGGAAGCAGGCAGGTGGGGCCTGGAGGGGTGGTGGAGCCCACAGACCAGCCTGAGCAGGCAGGGTGGCTGCTGGGGTCAGGCTGCCTGGTGAGGGGCACAGAGGAAGGGGACTTCCGGGAACCTGAAGAGCAGGTTCTCAGCTCTGCAATGGTGCAGATTAGAGACTGGCTCTGGAGGCTGGAGGAACGGGTTTCTGGACTGGATGTGGGTGGGAAAGTGGCGAAGATGTGCCCTAGGTGTTGGCTTGGGTGAGTAGGGGGCTGGTGGTGCGGGTCACTAGGAAGGGAAAGCAGCAGCACTGGAAAGGGGCAGATGTGCCTATGGCAGTGACACATGACAGGTCCCCAGAGTACTGGTCCATCCAGAACTCCCCGCCCCCGGTCCGTTTCATTGATGAGAAAACAGGCGGGCAGAGAGGTCGAGAGACTGAAGTCCTACGGCCTAGGGTCACAGGTGGTGGCACCTTGTCCAGTTCGGAGAACTCGATCTGCTCCCCCAGGGTGCAGCTGTGGCCGATGGGCGAGATGTTTGGCCTGCCTTGTGGAACTCGATGAAGACACCACACTTCTTGGGCAGCCTGAGCTGGGCCATATAGCTGAGGTAGAGCATGCAATCGAACTTAATGACTTCATCCTCATCCTCCAGCTGCTCAGCGATCTTGAGCCGCCCACCACACAGATCTGCACCTTGCTTCACAGCTTCTGTAGGAAGGCGGACACCTCAGGGTCAGTCTTCAGGAAACACTGTGCTGCAGCTCAGGCAGGGGCCCAAGACATGCAGTTAATTGTCAAAAACAGGGTGGGGATTTAGCTCACTGACACAGCGCCTGCCTTGCAAGCGCAAGATCCTGAGTTTGATCCCTGGTGAGCTGACCTGAGAGTCCCATCCACTTCAAACAGGCAGAGGATGCGCTCCTTCCTGTGGGTGCCCTCGGCGGTGACAGCCATGGCTGCAGCTCGGTACTCCGGTGGAGTCATGTGCCCTGTTTCTAAATGTTACCATCATTTCACAGATCAGGACTCAGAGCTCAGAGAATATAAACAACCTAAGTGCCCAAGGCCACAGATCTGAAACCCTGTTAGTCCATTAGACTCCAAAGCCCCTTAGGCCTTGATGCTGCCCTGCTAGTGGACACTGGGATATGAGGAAGGACAGACCATGCTGCCATCAAGACGCAGTGACAGCACTGGTGCCGCTGCTGTGGAGGAGACGGCCGCTGTCAGACATGGTACTCGGCTCTTCAGTGACAGCGTGAAGTCACAAGGACAGGACCTCCCCAGGCCACTTCAAACTCTAGAACAGGAAGGGGTGTTGACCTTAGTAAGAGTCTGGCAGAGTCAGAGCTGAGAGTAGCTTTCTGGTGACCGCCTTTCATCCAGCAGCCCACCAAGAGTTGCGCCGTTAGAAAGAAAGGTGCTTCTGTCCCACAGAAAATTCCAGAAGACTTAGGAACTCTGTGTCTGGAACCACAGGCAGAGACCAGCGTGAGGACAAGAGATGCTCCCAGCACCCGACCACTCAGGGAATTACAAGGATTTAGGACATCAAAACATACTTTTTTTTTTAAATCCCATTCCCCCCTCAAGCCCCCTCCCCTCCCTCTGTACAAAAGCTCTGTTTCCATTTTTCCTTCTATTTTCACTGTTTTCTTGTCCCTTCCTTCCTTTCTCCCTCCCTCCTCCCTTGTTCCCCTGCCCATTTGAACACTTTCTTCCCATTTCCCAACATCCATTATACACCTCAGTCCTTATTTCCACATTCAGTTTCTCACACCAGAAAAACAATGCCGTATCTAAACATGTGTGTCCAGGGCCAGGGATTAAGCTCAGCGGCACAGCACCTGCCTGGCAAGCGTGAGGTCCTGAGTTCAATCCCCAGTACCTAAAAAAAAGAGACTAAACGTGTGTGTCCGATTTATGTCACTTAAGAGTGGTCTCAGGGTCCATCCATTTAGCTAGAAATGTCTGAAGCTCATCCTTCTTTATGGCCAAGTAGTACTCCATTGATAAAAAACCACATCCAGGGCTGGGGATTTAGCTTAGTGATGCCACACCTACCTTGCAAGCACAAGGTCCTGAGTTCGATCCCCGGTACCTGAAAAAAAACCCACATCTTCAAAAGCATCCTTCTGTGGGCTGGGGATTTAGCTCGGTGGCACTGTGCCTGCCTCACAAGCCCAAGGTCCTGAGTTCAATCCCCAGTACTGCAAAAAAAAAAAAAAAAGCATCCTTCTTATTATGTCACACTATTTGTGTATAAGGCTGGGGCCATGAGTGGCAAAAAGAACTTACCAATAATGTTGTAGAAATCTCGGAAAGAAATACACAGAGACACAGAATTTGGATAAAATGGGCTGGGGATTTAGCTCAGTGGTTTCGGCTGCCTGCTGCGCAAGCGCAAGGATCCGAGTTCAATCCCATGTACCAAACAAACAAGCAAAAAAGAATTCGGATAAAATAATAAAATTTCTTCTCACAAGTGGGCGGGAACACCAGAAACCAGTCTGGTCAATATCCGCACCCTTTGTTCAGCATCTCCCTTTTTATATCCTTTTTAGCCATTATCTCATCCCTAGTGGTCTTTGATATGTAAATACAATTCCAGTTCCTATTTACAAGTCACAGACACAAGATAGGCCATATACCTTGTAAATTCACCCTGGCATGGTAACATTGTTAGGTTAATGAAGTTACCTGTTAAGAGTCAGATAATCTTCACCTTAAACAAGGAGTCACGGGAAAAGCAAATCTTAAAAGAACACATTACTTATTTTGCTTCTACAACTACCTTAATATTCAATCTATTACGTTATCTAAAACTTTTCCATATCAATATTAAGGAATACAGCAAAGTTAAGAGTGTATTGATCCACTGGAAGAGAGCAGTGGGCGTGTCCAAGAGAGTCCTGGTGAAAGGCTAAAATTTTTATATTTGATTTTAACATGGGGAGTGGTCTGGAAATGTCATCCCAGGTACACTTTCATCAGGTCACAGCATTTTATTGACATCCATCTCAGTTCTGAGGACAGGCGAGTGTAGCTTGAAGACTGGTAATGTTTTATTTGACAGTCCAGTGGCTCCGGGCATTGTTAAAAACAGTCCTTCAGAGTAGACTTAATTAACAAGTCTGCACAGGCTGACTAGGGTTATGATGAAAGGCATCAGAATAATATATAATGTATATGTTTGTACTTGAAAGGGACGTTTGATGTTATATTAGGATAGGGAAGAAATGGTTTGCTTTAAGACATGACAAGCAGTTAGATCACCCAGTAGTGTAGAAAGTTACTCATCACTCAGCTGCAATGCAGACTTTAAACAAACAGTGGTAAAATAACCATGATTCTCCACAACTACCTCAGGCAGAAAGTCAGAAAGCCCTAATACTTCAAGACGAAAAGCACTGCCCATTAGTGCTTAGCAGCAGAGGGGTCAGAGATGGTAAAGCTGGGGCAGGGGATCCCAGCACTAGTTTTCGGGTTATCAGGGCTGCTTTCCAAAGGGTCAAAGAAGTCAGGACGCTAGGAAACAACGCTATCGCCCCACAGCCCCCAGGCTGGTGACTCGTGGGGAATATGCAGTCCAGGTGATCACTCAGGCGTGCCCATCTGCTGCTGCAGAGGAGGAAAGAAAGGCCCTCGACTCGTCTTCGTTTCCAGATTTTACAAGAGTGCATTCTACTGGCAGCATCCTGCCGGCAGGAGATGAAGTGTGGCTCCTGGGCTTCCAGCCCCTGCATAGAAAGGAGTGAAGATGAGGTCACTGCAGCCCACCTCATAAGCAGGCATGTGAGAAAGCCTCTCTTGCACTTGAGGTGCCCTGGCACCTGCCACCCCGTCTTGGTAGGCCAATGGCTGACAATCGTCAGCTGAGTGAGGCGAAGTGACACCCCAAGTTGCGTAGGTGGTGCCCAGGCCGAGCTAGATCGGGGATCCAGAAGCCAGGACCCTGCCTGACGCAGATCTGCGGGAGGTAACTGGGCCTCCCGTTCCGCCCGCACACGAGCCCTAGCTTCTGCGGCCAGGGGAGCCTCCCGGTGCCCGCAGCCACCAGTATCACACACCGCCCGGCTCCTGAGGGTCTGCACCTCAGCTTCCGGGAGGAGCTGCCCCCGCCCTCCAGCTCAACTGGGCCTCGCGATTGGCTCTGGGGCCCGGAGGGGCGGGGCCGGACGCCGACCCGGCGTGATGACCTCAGGCCCGAGGTGTCTTTTCGCCTAGTTGATGGCCTGAGCGCCAAAGCTGGCTGTCCCCTTCCTGTGGTCATTTAGCAGCCTGGCGACGAGGAGAGCTGAGCAGGGCCGCTGCGGTGGTGCCCTCTCCGGGGCTCTAAGCTCTGGAGACAGCCCGGCTCCGGATCCCCACCTTGACCAGACCCCCTGCCCCTCCCCACCCCTCTCGGCTAAATGCAGCCCCTGCAGCCGAATTGCAGCGCCGGCCTGGGCCACGCATCTCAACCCCTGTGACAATCCTGATGTCCTGCGCAAATCTCCTAGACCGACCCTCCAGGTTCTCCTTTTCCGCCTTTTTCGCCTCACTTTCTTCTCCCAGCCTCCCCCACTCCACTCAGCTCCCCAGGGTCGGCTCAGCCCAAACCTCTCCCCTCCCCCCCATGGAAGACACCTCCAGAGCAGGGGCCCCGTTGAGCTCACCCCTTGACAGCTGTGATCTCCACCATCTCCTCAGTTTGAAGCGAATCTTCTTGTCCTCAAAGACTTGGCCCCTAACTTCCTGGCTCATCAGTGTTCTTTTGTCCTCTTCCACCATCATGAGCCCACCCCAGCCCTCAATCTTTGCTAAACCGCCCCTGCTTTTGCTGCCTCTTTCTTACCACCCTCTCCGTGGAGATCTCCATGTCCTTTCTCCTCTGCCGGCCCTATGGCAGCCCTACACCCTAACTCACCCTGCCCCCCATCCCCAGCTGGCTCTGCACAGCCAAATCCAGGTGCTGGCTCAGAGCTGGGCACCTGTGGAGGGAGCAGCTTGCCTGGTGTGTGCAAGGACGGGTGGCAAATGAGTGTTGGAGGGGTAGAGATGGCTCCTCTACTCTTGAGTCAGACGTTTTTGTGGTGTGTGGTCCCCTGTACCTGTCCTCAAGGATTGTTTTTCTGGCATTCATGTTAAATTACTTGTGCAGCCTGTTGGGAAGGTAGCTGTCATTCAAATCCTGGACGGCGCAGATGGCAACTCCTGCTGCTCACTCAGCTCAGGCCTCTGGAAGCTGTCACTTCCTTTTGGCTGGGGCTGGCTGGCCCTGGAGAACCTCGGGGAGTGGCACTGACGGGCTGGGTGTGGTCACAGAAGCAGGTCCCTGTGTCTTGTCCTGGCACTTGTGAAGGTTCCTCTACCAGAGGCGACAGATCTGTCTCAGTGCCCGCAACAGGGGACACAGCGGGTGACAGAGGCATGTTATATGCTGGGAAGGACATTAGTGAGTGGGCCCCAGGTGGGGACAGAGGGTGAATGAATTGCTTGGTCTTTTTGTAGATGCTGGATCACTGAGTTTGTTTGGTTTTTTGGTCCTGGGGATCGAACTTGGGTCCTTGCAGTTGCGAGGCAGGCGGCGGAACCACTGAGCTAAATCCCTGGCTCTGGATCACTGAGTTTTAGTCCTTTGGGTTCCATGAACACAGGAAGCTGAGGTGAGGTGTCTGAAGCGGGGGATATTCCTCCCACACCCGGTCCCATGCTCAGCATTTGTAATCTCTGGGGGACTTGTTGGTGCACAATTGCTCCAAACTCTAATGACCTGGCTTCAGAAGGGGTGGCCACGTGATGGCATTTTTGTTTAAATTTAACCATTTTTTCAGTGTTGAATATCCAGCCCAGGTTGAGACACTCCCTGCTCCACCATGACAGCAGTTTTCAAGGGCCCCAAGAAGACACCCTGTCTTTGCCACTGTGGCCTCTGTCCTTTGAGAACTGAATGCAGGTCAAGCTGAATGGATTTTAGTTTGATGGGCAGCTTGGTTTAGCAGCAGGAATTCCACAGTAGCCCACCGCATCAGTGCAGTGTACCTCAGCTTTTACAGTGCAGTGGCCCTACCTGGCCTGGCCTTCTTTTTCTTTTACTCATGGAGTCGTTCATTCAGCAAGCATTTTGGAGCATACTGTGTGCCGGCACAGTTCTTTCAACCCAAGACCTGGGATGTTTGATCTGATGAGTTAGGTAAAGTCCTTGTTTTTGTCCACTTAGAGTTTGCTTGTTGCTAGAATCCTACATCACATGGGACAAGAATCTGGGGAGACAGGTGTTACTGGATTGAAAGATAGGACGAACAGTTGGAAAAACTGGATTTCAACCTGCCAAGGATTGAAACTAGACTCCTATCTTTCACCATGCACTAAAGTAAAATCGGAGTGGATTAAAGATTTAAATATTAAAACAGAAACACTAGACTTGCTGGAAGATAAGTTAGGTAGAACTCCTGAAGACATTGGCATAGGAAAAGACTTTATGAACAAAACCTCAGTAGCACGGGAACTAGCACAAAGAATCAAAAAGTGGGATCTCATCTTATTAAAAAGCTTCTGGCCAGGGATTTAGCTCAGTGGTTCCGCTGCCTGCCTCACAACCGCAAGGTCCTGAGTTCGATTCCCAGTACCAAAACAAAACAAACAAACAAAAAAGCTTCTGCTTAGCAAGAGAAACCACCAACAGAGCTAAGAGACAACCTACAATGTGGCAAAAAATCTTTATCAGGTGTTCTCAGACAAAAGACCACTATCTAGAATATATAAAGAATTTTAAAAAATCAGACCCCCCAAATATAAAGACCCAATCCAGAAATGGGAATCTGAAATGAACAGACATTTCTCAGACAAAGAAATAAAAGCAGCAAATAAACATATGAAAAAATGTTCAACATCACTGGTCATTCGAGAGATGCAGATGAAAACAACGCTGAGATTCCACCTTAACCCAGAAAGAATGGCTGCTATCAAGAAATCAACCAATAACAAATGCTGGCGGGGGTGTGGGGAGAAAGGAAGCCTTCTCCATTGTTGGTGGGAGTGCAGACTGGTGCCACCACTGTGGAAATCAGTACGGAGATACCTCAAAGAACTAGGACTAGAGGTCCCACTTGACCCAGCTATTCCCCTGCTGGGGATCTTCCCAAAAGAACTGAAAGAATCATACCACAGCGATACATGTGCACCCATGTTTATAGCGGCACAGTTGGTAATAGCACATTTTCTTTCTTTTTTTTTTTTTGGTACCTGGTGTTGAAGTCGAGACCTTATACCTGCAAGGCAGGTAGCTGAACCACTGAGCTAAATCCCCGGCCCCAAACAAATGAAAGAATGTTTTTTGGGGGGGTACCAGGGATTGAACTCGGGTCCTATGTGCTTGTGAGTCAGGTGGCAGAACCACTGAGCTAAATCCCCAGCTGTAATTGATAAAGCTTGGAAACAGCCCAATTAATTGCCCGTCAACAGGAGACTGGATAAAGAAGATATGTGTTTTTTTTTTTAATAAAATGGAGTACTGCTCAGCCATAAAGAACGAGAAACTAGAGAAATTTATAGCTAAGTGGATGCACATTGAGGCCATACTTTTAAATGAAATAAATAGGACACGTGTAAATACCAAATAGTTTCTCTGGTGTGAGAAACTGAAAGTGTAAATAAGGATCAAAATGTATAAATGATAATGTGAAATAGGAAGAAAAGGCCCAAAGGGGAAGGGGAAGTGGGAGGGGAAGGGGAAAGGAAAGAAGGGAAAGGAATAAATATGAGAAAAGGAAAAAATGGAAACAAAGTCTTTGTAAATAGAGGAGGGTGGAGGGGGTGAAGGGAGGGCAGGGGAAGGGGGAGAAAATAAGAACCAAGATACATCATGTAAAGGTACAAATTCCCAATGAGGGATGTAACTGTATTGTATACCTGAAGTGTACCAATAAACGTAATGGAAAAAAAAAGATTCGATACAGGGGGGAAAAAAAAGATAGGAGAAACAAAGAACGACACCAGTGTCCACCACTGATGGCATAGTTCTGCCCTCTCCTGTTCCAGGACACCTGCCCGGAAACCCCAGTTTCTTCAGATTTCTGGAGGTGCTGTTTACTCAGCGCTCACATGTCTGAAAAATCAGCTGCCTTCTGAATCCGAAGATGACCTTGTTCCTTTCCAGCTGCAGTGACTCCTCGATTGGTCCCGAGCGGGATGGCATCGTCGCCAGGCTGTTGCAGACAGCTAAGGGTGAGATTCGGCCCGAGGAAGCTGTGGGGAGCGGCTGAGTCTCCGAAGAGCAGCAGTGGCTGTTGACTGCTGGACTGAGTGTTACCTGTGTCTTCTTTGACTGTAAGTCTCCTCTGCCTGGTTCTTTCCTTAGTTTTGGAGAGGGATCTGGGGTGTAGGTTAAGAGAGTTTTAATTTGCCTCCACATTGCATGCCAATGTGGAACAATGTGCAGTAAATCTACAAAATGATAGAACTTTCTCTATAAACACTGCTTGAAGTCCGAACATGTACAAGGGAAAAAGCTATTTCTATCAGGTGCCTGCTCTGCTTTCATTACATTTCATTTCTGTCTGTCTGTCTTTTACATGGGGAGTTGGCCAAAGCTTTTGAATGCATCAGCCTTCTGGATCCCCTTGCCCTGTCTCTACCCCTTCTGAGAGTCTCGCCTTCACGATCTTCCTGAATAAAATATACAACTATAGGTTTTTCTTAAGAGTCTGGCTGTGTAGTTGGAGCCAGCCTTGAACTTGCTATGGCCCCCTGGGGCCCTTGAGCTCATGATCTTGTCTCAGCCTCACAGGTGCTAACACGACAGGTGTGTACCTCTCCATTGGCTTTGATTACAGTTGTTGCATCCTGTTCCTTCCAAGCACAAACTCCTTGAAAGCATGAACCAGATATTGCTTACCATGTTTGGGAACAACACAAGTATTTGAGCAAACTCAAGTATTTATTAATTAAACAAATAACTGGGAGTGAGTAGAAGGAAAATGACTACTTTAGAATGGGTGCAGTTCCCTACTTCGTGGCTCACCTGGCTCCCACACCCTGCAGGTCTGTGTCACCCACTCTGTTTGCTGCATGCATGCGTCTGCGTCCTGTAGGAGCCTGTGTGTCCTTGGAGGGCAGGAACTCTGTCCTTCTCCCCTCTGTGCCTCCATTATGGGCACAGTGTTTAGCATATTCTTTTTTGTGACCTTTTTAATTGGTTGGCATTTTTATTTTTAAAAATTTTTTGTTGTTTGCTTTTTTTGGTACTGGGGATTGAACTGGGACCTTGTGCTTGCGAGGCAGGTGGTGTGGTTGGCATTTTTAAATGAATGAGAACGCATGTGGTGATGTGAAGTAATTAGCTTATAAAGTGTTTCATAGTACAAATAACGAAAGGGCTACTCCATTGTGGGTCCCGTTTGTTTTTCTCTGAACTCTTAGAGGACTGGGAGCTTGTAGGGAACAGGGAAAGGGGACGTTGCTAGAACCTCTGCAGTGAGTCCTAGTCTCCTGCGAGCCATGACAGCACAAGGCAAATTCGTTTATTATACAGGAAAGGTAGAAAAAATGAGACTTAGAGAAGAAGCTGAGTTTTGGCCGGATCCGTGCCGCTGTGGGTGGCAAAGACCCCAGACCCGGAAGAGCTTGCTGCACCTTTATTCAGAACCTCAGCAGAAACAAAAGTAGCAATTGACTCCAAGAGTGGAGCGAAGATCCTAGAACAATGAGGAACTATGCAGATGGAGATTTGGTTCCTCCCGGGATGTCTCCAGCTGGTGTAGTCCTGTCCTGGAGCATCACAGCGTCCTGGGACCACTGAGGTCTTAAGTGGGACTGGAGGTGAAAACGGAGTTACATCTGGACATCCTGTAGCTGGCCTGTAGACAGGAAAACTAGGCCATAATCATGATTTAATTATGAAATCATTTTTCCCCAAAATCATGTAGAATTGCTCCTGATAGGAGTTCAAATGGTAAGAGTGCCCAAGAAAACCAACCCAAAATGGGCATCTCCTTGGGGCCGAGAAGGTTGCAAACTTCGAAAGATTATCTTGAGTGCCCTGTGAAGCTTTTCATACCCATTTTCTGTAAGCCCTGTTTGCTAAAAATATCACTCATTAGTTTCATTAGGGTTAATGAGATTCACACCTCCGCACCCACCATGGGCAAAGATGAAAATCAAGTGTTCACACCACAGAACCTAGTGTCTTCTGATCTCTAACAGATATAAATGCTACGCAAGTGTTCGCTCTTTGGCCACAAGGCTGGAGAGATTTCTGTTTGGTAATTAGTGAAGAGGGAGGGGTATTTCTCATATGCTTACCGAGTGTAAGCATTCCGAGCTATCTCCTTTAACCATCACTTCAGATATCTGTTTTTACCATGGGTAGAACAATTCCTGGGTTGAAAGCCTTAATATCAGTCTGTTCTTCTGGCAGTTTAAATGCCTTGATGTCTGTATCTGTATCTCTCCTCCATCCTGAAGACATAGTCCTGCCCTTATCCTACTTCCTTGACCTCCAGCCTGAGCCTAAGGAGCACGCGCTCAAATTGGCTCCGAGTAGGTGAGGGGGATCCCACAGCCGTTATGTTATAAAATCCTTTGTATGGCAGTCCAGCCCAGCCATGTTGATTCCATCTAACCCCATTTAAATTCACAAACTTTCACTCCCCAAGTGAGGGTGGAGACTTTTAATTTATGGGACAGAGTCCCCCTTAGGAGAAATTCCAGGTCCCAAGACCAGGGAAAAGTCCCAGCTGATACCTAGAAACCAAAAGCAGACGGAGCTGCTCCGGGTCAAACTCTCACGTTTCCTCAGGCTGCTCCCACTCTGGAGGGTACTTTCTCTTCATAAATCTTTGTCCTTCTTACCACTTCTTCGGGTCTTGCTCAATTCTGTACAGGAAACAGAACCTGGGTACGGGGAAGACTCACTGCCTACCCAGCTACAAGGCTCGGCTCAGCCCTGGCGCAGAAGCTGGCCCACGGCTGACACTGCTTAGTGAATGAACTTGGGCAACTGTATCAAACTGAGTTTCAGTTCCCTAAAACTAGGAGCGTGTCTGGTCTTCCTCACCAGGGCCCGTGCCGTGTGACCTCAGGTGGCCTCTTGGGTCTGCTTCCGCCTCTGAAATGGGAGCTGTGATGAAACCTTCCCTGGGGTGAGCGGGACTCACTGTTTGGCAAGCTCTCGAGCCCCTTGACACACTATTTCTGTCCTGCTTGTGAAAGGGCTTTCCAAGAAGCAAACACTTCACCAACACGCATCACTCGTTTTCTGTCCCTGGATCACATTTCAGAGAACCAACACTGTTTTACTGGGAAAGGGTTCATACAATACACCAAAGTACTAACCATCATGGTAATTGTCTGTAATGAGCATCTGTGAAATGCCAGGCTCCATGCTGGCTACTTTATGCACATCATCGCATCCCAGGAGCCGAGCAAGAGTCCTTGCCACTCCTGTTTTGTGGATGAAAAAAACTGAGGCAGAGGGAGCTTAAGCTACTTTTTCAAAGTCTGGGAGCTGGGAAGTAGAGCAGCCAGGATTTCACAGAGCTGGATCCCAGGCTTCAGTCTCCTGAATCCAGGACCCTCTGAGGTTTGGCTCCTGCATCCTGGGCAGACCTCCTAGGAAGAGCTCTTTGGTGCCCAGGGGCTGGAGGCTGAAGGAGAGCACTGGAGAAGCAGGTCCCTCTGCCAAGGTTCTGGGTTCGGATCCAGCGTGCCCTTCCCCAGAGCACTGGCCTGTCTGGCCCCTCTTCGACACCGTGTTCACGGCCTTGCCTGAAGTTCATAGAAGGTGGCTCAAGAAGCACACTGCAGCCTGCGCGTTCCAGGAGGACTGAGAAGGGCTCAGGTGCGGTCCCTCTCCTCCCCTCCTCAGGCCCAGCTCACTCCTGGTACCTTCTTCCGAGGAGCCTGAGCTGTGCTTCTGCCTGTGTGTGTACCTGGTGTGGTGATGAAGTCGCTAGAATTCTCAGCCCCCAAACTTCTTTGACGTGTCTGCCTAGCTTGTCCTGGGCAGTCAGGACCTACCGCACCAATGCACCTGAAGACAGCACCATCCTGTCCTCCCCTCATGTTATATCTTTCCCCAAAAGGCTGAAACATACAGATATTCTCAGCTAAGTCTGAAGGGCCTTTCTGAAGCCTGCAGGAGACCTTGACAGTCTGCAACTTTAGTTACAGTGCAGGCGATCCTGCAAGATTAACAAGGAAGAGGAGCCCCCAGGAAACACATTTCTGTTTTGTTTTGCTGTTATTGTTGTTGTTTTTGAGACAAGGTCTCACTATGTAGTTCAGAATGGCCTTGAACTCACTAAGTGGCCCAGGCTGGCCTGGAACTCATGGCAATCCTCCTGCCTCAGCCTCCCGAGTGCTGGGATTATAGGTGTGCACTGCCACATTCGGCAGAAAATGCATTCTAAGGTACCCGTGTCTGCCAACCTGGACCACTTCCCACGACTTCACTCCCTGATAAGAACCCCAGCCTCTCACCCCGACAGCGCCATTCCTCTCTTGGAGGCTCGCTGGCGTCTCTCTTGCTAGTGCACTCTGCTCTGAATAACCCTTTTCTTTTCCATATTCTTGAGTGTTGGTAAATTCTTTTCCTTTTTCCTTAGAGGTGAGAAAGCTCTGTCAAGCTTCCCCACCATTTGTCAGCAAATTAGCAAACTGAGCGCGGGAACCTCCTCCTCTTTCCCTATCTGGGGATCTGAAATGATCATCAGAGAAAGTTCTGGTGGTATTCACTCTTATCTTGGCCAGGAGGTTTCCTTTTTTTTCCAGGAAACCCTCATTTCCGGTCACCCGGGGCTTCCGGTGCTGCCTGCAGCTGTCAGCCGTCTTCTGAAGGCCCCTGTGCGGCGGAAGCCGGGTCCCGCTCCCGGAAGTCACCGCGGGTGGCTCTTCGGGTCAGGCTGCAGCTGTCTTCCTTCTCGTTGTTCATCTCCACCGAGGCAAAAGACAGAAGAGAGGGAGAAATCCAGCAGGCCTCCCCCCAGACCTTCCAAGTATGGGCGCCTGAGTAGGGCCGGCACCAGAGCTGCGCAGTGTGCAGGATCGGCCGTGGCTCCATGCCCAGACCGGCCGCTTGCGGACAGCAGAGCCGCCTCTCCCTGGGCCTCCGAGGACCAACGTTCTTATTCCTTAACCCGCCTTCGGCCCGGGTTTGGGGTCGGGGAGCTGGGGCATCTCACAATGCGAGGCCCCAGGTCACCACAAGATAGCTGCGCTGAGGCCATTTCCTCACGTGGACACCCTCCCCTTGGTGTAGGAGGAGGCGCCCCCCCCCCCCCCCCGCACCGAGGGTGCAAAACAAGGGGGCGGAGTCCCGGTCACATTTCACCTGTCTGCGCCCCTTCTCGGTTTCATTGTATTTGTTCATTATCCTGCTGTATTAATGCTTCTGTGTTCCCCCTTTTGGACTCAATTCCAGGGGTGCAGGTCCGGGTCCCTGCTTTGACGGCAGCGCCAGGTCCTGGGAAACCTGCGCCCCTGCCCCAGAAAGCTGGTCGCGCTCTCGGACTTGTGGAGCAGTCGCAGCCCAGGAAGAAAAGTCGAAGACTTGAGGGGGCAACAGCGCAGGGACCACTGTGGCGCCCCGGGGGCCTGCGGTTCCCAGGGCCGCTCCCACCCGCCCCTAGCAACGGCCCACCGGCCCACCCTAGGGACAGCGAGTTCGAGGCCAGCCTGGGCTACTTAGCGAGTTGCTGCCTCAAAAAAAGAGGCCAGGTTGGAGGAGGTCACAGTGACAGTGACGAGGCAGAAGGCGAAGGGAGAGCAACCTCCCCCACGGCTGTGCCCCAAAAGACTGAAACTGGCAGTGCCAGCCTGGCGTGGTGGTGCATGCCTGTCATTCCGGCACTCTGGAAGGCTGAAGCAGGAGGATGGCAAGTTGTAGACCAGCCCAGGTAACTTCGTGATTTAGTGAGACCCTGACTCAAAATAAAAACAAAAAAAGTGAAAAGGACTGGAGATATAGCTTAGAGTGAAGGCCCTTTTGGTTCAATTCCCAGTACCAGGGGGAGAGAGAGAAAGAAAGAGAAAGAGAGAAAGGAGCTCCACAAACATGCGTTCACACAAGTTCACAGCAGCGCTCTTCACGGGAGCCCCGAGGTGGCAGCAGCTCACCTGTCCATCGGGGTGAGTGGATGCACAATGTGGGGTTCACCTGGACAGCGGGACGCTGCTGAGTCCCCCAGGCCACGGCAGTGAGGAGCCTCCCGTGCAGGATGCTAAGTGCTGAAGCTGGACGAACAAGGTAGCAGGCTGCACGGGGCCAGGTGTACACGGCGGCCAGGACCGGCCAGCCCAGTGCACACAGCAGGACTGAGCCCTGGGGTGGGGGAGGCAGGGGGTGCAGCCTCCTCCTGCAGCATCTGCTTTGGGGGCAGACACATTTTGGAACTCACTGAAAGGAGGGGCAGCACTGTGAACGTCCTGACTGCCACCCACACCCAGGGGTGCCTGTCCCTGTCCCTGAACATGTGCTCGGCGCCTGCTGTGTCCAAGCCCAGCGAGGTGCTGGGGAAGCATGGTGCGTGCGAAGTCCCTGCTACAAGGGGCTCAGTCCAGAGAGGAAGACTAGGAAGCTTGGTATTGAAAAGCCAGGGAGAAGGTGCGGCAGAGGCAGACAGCATGCAGTGGGGGCCCGTAGGAATCACTGGTCACAAGCCCACAGAGCCCAGGAAGACAGAAACCCTTCCCTCTGTGTCGCAGCAGCTCAGTGACAGATGTCGCTCCCGGGCCTGCAGCAAGGATGGGTGCGGAGTCTTTGGGGAGATGGGGGCCCATCAGTGCCGCCCTGGTTGGGCCATGTTGTGATGCCCCGTGTCAGAGTCTGTGAGGGCTGGAGCAGCAGCACATTCAACAGGCCAGGGAGTCCCTCAGGGCTGGGGCCTCAGGCCTGGCTCCACTGCCCAGGGGACACTGCCTGAGGACTGGCCGGCCCTACACACCAGAGAGTTCTGTGGGCGACAGTCCCCTTCCCCCTCTGACCTCATGGAAGCGGGGATAACTCCGCGTGCCCAGAATCCTGCTGGTACTGATGGCACGGTGCCCTGGGTAACCCAATGGTAGTTTCAGGGAGATTTCTCTCCACAGAAGGGGTCCAGCTAATCGATGCAGACGGAATGGTGGGGAAGATGACCACCCAGGGACTTCCAGCTGGCCTGGGTGCTGAGCATCAACGGCTGCTGGTGTGACACTTGGAAGCCACTAGACATCATGGCCTCCTGGGCAGAATGCATGTTCTGCGAGGTACTCAGAGCCCCCAGTTATCTGATCAGGCCTCTAGATGGGTCATGGCGAGGTTATGGCACAAGTGTCGCAGCCAGCTGTTTGTTATCATTGAAAGCACTAAAAGGTTCGCCATCCCTGCTGTAGATTCAACTATCAAATTACAGGAAGTGCAAAAGACAGAAATGTGTCACATTACATCACAGTTTTTTTTTTTTTTTGGTACCCAGGATCGAACTTCGGACCTTGCACTTGCGAGGCAGTTGCCGGAACCACTGAGCTAAATCCCTGGTCCTTACGTCACAGTTTTGTAATCATCAGAATCTAGATGTGGCTAATCTGTAATATCCATGGTGTGGCTACTTTGATGACCAATTGTCAAAAAAAAAAAAGGTAAAAGGTAAAAGGTGAAGCTTGCATTAAAGGGGATTTCAGGACATCAACCAATCACAATGTGGTCATCTCATGTAGCTCTTGAGTTTGTGAAACTGAATCTTAAACTAAAACTTAAAAATGTTCTTGAAAAAAAAAACCTTGGAAATCTGAATGGTGACTGAAAGTGTGATCCGGATTTGCTGTGTGTGTGGCCTTGGCCGAGGCCCTTCACCTGTTCGTACCTTGTCTTCCCACCCATGAAATGGGACCAACCTGGTCTCCTCTCACTTTGTCTTCCCGTGTGAGCCCGGGGACCTTGGCTCAGTGCCCGCAGCCGCCCCATCATGTGTCCACAGAGTAAAATGGGCAGGAGGGGGCATCGTGGACACCAGCCCAGGGCCCTTGGGATCTCTAGAACCCAGGGCAGGAGGACCCACCTTCCTGAAGTATTTGTCTGGGGGGGGGGGTGTCAAGGTGCATGGTCCCAGGTGGGCTGGGCCCAAGCCAAAGGACAGGGGAGAAATTGCTGGGCAACCACACCCGCTGGTGGGTGACCTGCTGGCCAGGATTCGTGACCTTGATCTGGCACTGGGGACATCTGGTGAGCTGCCTGTGCCTTCGTCCTAGTCTGGTCCCCGGCTCAGGGCCCTAGGGGAGGGGTGTGAGCAGCCTTGAACGGACTCCAGTGAGCACAGATAAATGTCACAGCATTGCTACATAGCCCCTGCCCTTCAGTTCCTTGTCCCTGGCTTTGGCCCACCTGCCCTTCCAGTGTTATCACACTTAGTCACCCTCAGCATGAGCCTTGTGTGCTGTGAATGCTCCACATAACAGGGTGAGGTGGCTGGAAGGGCACCTCCTTCCTGGACTGCCCATGGGCTTAGCCCTCTTTTGAAGAGATACAAGCTTTATCTTCAGAAGGGCAGCCTTCTGAAGGGTATCCCCTCGTCTGCTGCCAAGGCCCAGCAGTTTAACACAGGAACCGAAGAAGAGACAAACACGATACAGTGGAGGTGAGTACAGTACCGAGCCTGCAGGTTGGTGTCAAACCTGAATTCAAATCCTTCTACTGCCTCCTTTCAGTCACCTGTTAACCTGGTTAGCTCAGCCTGTGGTGTTGCAGCATCTGATCGCAGAAATTCCCTTGCTTCCTCAGCATGGGTTTCAGGAAAGGTGTGCATGTATTTAGGGGTGGGAGGTGTCTCCCAAAGGCACCCTGAGAATCACAGCCCTCTGCTGCCATCTCCAGGGACTCCATGTCAGACCTGGAGCTGTGGCTGCTGTCTTGCTGCAGTGAGCACAGCCTTTTAAAAAGATCTGGGTGCCCAGGGAGGGGTCCTGGTGCTGAGGGACCAACATGGGGTGTGTCTTCATTACTTCTTGGTTGCTGAGACAAAATACCCAACATCCACAGTTAAAGAAGGAATGGTTGGGGCTGGGGATTTAGATCAGTGGTTCCGCTGCCTGCCTTGCAAGCGCAAGGTCCCGAGTTTGATCCCCAGTACCAAAAACAAACAAATAAAAAAAAGAAGGAATGGTTGTTAGATCCACAGTACAAAAAAAAGGAATGGTTTATTGTATCTCACAGTGTATAGAGGTTTCAGTCCATAAGGTATGGCAGGAGGAAACAGTCCATGGCAGGGTAGACAGGAAGCAGGGAGGGTGCCTTCTTTTCTGTCCTTTTATATTCTACAAGCCTTTTAGATGGTGCCACCCACACTGAGGATGGACCTTCCCATTGTCCCTACCCAGAACTATGCTAAACCAATCAGCAGACTACTTTATTTACCACACACCCTTAATCCACATCCACACAGCCTAGATACAGCCACCTCTGAAAAGCTCCACCTATGAGCACATGAGGCTCTGGGGGGACATCTAAACACAAACTATAACAGGGTGGAATCAGAACCAGAGACCATGGCCCAGACCCGGGCTGTACTGACTGTGCAGAAAGGCAGTGTTGGCCCCTACTTCCTAGGCTGGGGAGTCCACAGGAAGGCTACCATGAGTTCCTGTGTGGGGGGCGCTTCTGCCCTCTTGTGGCCACTGCATAAATAGCACGCGAGTATTGGCCCAGAGAGGGGATGAGCAGAGTTTCTCCCCACTTCTCCATCTGCCTGATGGGATTCTCAACCACGCCCGATCCATAACTCCCTTTCCATAATATATGTTTTGTGTAATGATAGTATCTTGTAAATATTTAAGGCGTCTTTATTTTTTCTCTCAGTTCTGGGGCCGTGGGGAGGCCCCATCATGACGGGAGTTCATGGCAGAGCAAAGCTGCTCATATTCTGGTGGGAAAGCAAAAGAGGCAAGAGAGACTTGGGTCCCCCCGTCCCCTTCCAGGGCACCCCCTGTCCCACTAGGCCATACCTCGTAAAGGCTCTGTCACCTCCTGGTGTCACAAGCTGGGGACCAAGCCAAGCTGGGGACATGGAAGATCCAAATTATAGCAAGGCTGACCTCAAACTCATGATGATCTTCCTGCCTCAGCCTCCTAAGTGCCTGGTTCACAGGCATGCGCCACCTGCCCAGGATTCCTCCAAGGTTTTAAACTGCAGAGGCTGAATTTCTAGCATGTGGCCCTCGGCTATGGACACCTCCCCTGCTACCCAGGGCTCCAGTTCTCCAGGGTTCAGGTCACCTGAGGCACCTGTAGACCTTGGGCCAAAAAAAGTTCTTGAAACTGCACCCCCAGATGCCCTCCTCCTTGGCTCTGCTGCATCTCGGCTCCCTCTGGCCCCAGGATGCCACGCTCTGCTGCCTTGTTGGAGAGAGGAGCAGGAGATGGGACAGGGCCCACTGCCACCCAGACGCCCTTGCTGCGCTCTGTCAGATGTCTTCTTGTTCCCCAGGTGGAGTGGCTGTGGTGACAAAATTTTCTCTCCCCCCGCCTTCTTGCTACAGTTGGCAGAAATTCCTCAGTGACTGATGACACCGAGACATTGTGGCCTTCATGGGGCGGTGACAGACTGTCAGGTCATTGTTCCAGACAGTTAACCAGATGCCAACCCTAATAGGCTGGTCCTGTTTGGTGACAAGGGACAGAACCCGACTCACCAGTTGCTAATGGAAGAAGGGACACCTGTGGGTCCCACCACTGTGGGAAGGGCAGGTGTGTTGGGTTCAGACTCAGCCCAGACTGGGCGCCCTCTGCAGGGAGGCCACGCCTCTCACGGGGCTACATCCACAGGGATTCAAACTGCCGCCTCTGGCTGGGCCCCACTGAACTCCAACACATGGGGCTAGATGTCCCTGTCAGGGCCCTGTGACCCACAGCCTTCCCCAAAGGTAGGCCTGTTCCCAGAAAGGAAGAGAGGCAGCAGACAGTGCCCTGTCCTTCCCAGCATTCTCCCTCATACTTGGCACCTCCCTCTCCCGGGCCATCTGCCATTTTTGCTGATTTGGCCACTTTGCATGGTTCAGACCAGCATATTTCAGGAGACTGATGATGTCACAGAGCCACTAGGGTGGCTGATCACTGCTCTTCTCTTTAGAACAAAGAAACCAAAGCCAGGCAGCCAGGGTGGTGCAGACTTGTAATCCCAGCATTTTGGGAGGCTGAGGCAGGAGGATCCCAAGTTTGAGCCCAGTCTGGGCAATTTAGCAAGATCCTATCTCAAAATAAAAGATTTTTTTTTAAAGGGCTGGGGCTGAAGCTCAGTGCCAGAGCCCTGGGTTCAATTCCTAGTACCAGGGGGAAAAAAGAAAAGAAAAAAGGCATTCCATGGCAAAGAATATGTTGCTGTTTTTACTAATTCCACATAAATTTGGATACCAGCTATAGTAGGAACATATAGTTAGAAGAAGGAAGATGAAAGATAACAATTGCTTTTCAGGTGTTCATAATCCAGGTGGAAGCACGGACCTCCATGAACGTTAATAATGGATAATAAAAAGTATAGTTACTGGCTTGAAAGAGTATTGAGACCCGAGTACTCTCCCAGACACAACTAGTTTCGCAGTGAGATCAGCTCAGAAGGAGGTCATATGTGGCAGTGAGGTGGAGAAAGCAGTGGTGGGGGAGAAACGGTCCTAGGTGCCAGTCATTTGGGTTGTTCAGGAGAAGGGGCTAGAATCCAGATGTTTACGGCTGTTGCTTGGGAACCACTAAAGGACAAGACGAAGACCAAAAAGGGACAGCTGGAGAGACGTCCTGCACCTTGCCACCAACGGCAGTGTCGACCACGTGGGCCACTTAGAACTCTACCTGGAGCCTTAACTGCACCGGCTGTAAGATATAATAGTCATTCGGTGGGTTCCAGACTGGCATTTCACAGGCCAGTCGATTGTTAAAAAAAATGAAAGCATGATGGCCAAGTTTTAACTTCCATGGTTAAGTAAGACTATTAAAACCACTATCCTCAGTTTCAACATGTCTTCATAAAACTTTTTTTTTCAGTACCGGATATTGAACTCGGGACCTTGGGCTTGTGAGGCAGGCGACAGCACTAATGAGCTAAATTCTCGGCCCTCTTCATAAAACTTTTTTATTTTTAGCATCAAAATTGTAGGTAGGGACAGGGTTGGGGATTTAGCTCAGTGGTTCCAGTGCCTGTCTTGCAAGCACAAGGACCCGAGTTTGATCCCCCGTACCAAAAAACAAAACAAAATTGTAGGGACAGCATATCTGTAGGAAAATAGAATGGAATACATTTTATTTTATGAAAATTAAAAGAATTATATTGTTCTCTTCTCATTTTGCTGAGGCCAGGTGAAAACTTCATCCTAGACCAGAGTGGATCTGAGAGCAGTTATTAGGAAACCACAGGAGACCTGGCCTGCGGGGTCCCCTCTGGGTCTGATGTTGAGGAATAAAATAAAGCTCCGCAGGCCGCTTCCTCTTCCGGGTCACTGCCAGCTCCTTACAGCCACTGTCAGGTCCTGAGTCGTCCCTACCCGGGCCCACTCTGATCCTTTCCGGATCCATCCTCCTCGCTGTGCCCCCAACGCCCCGAATCCTCTGATGCCTACAGGCACACATAGACCCCAGGCTCACCAGGCCACCAGGGGATCCTCTTGAAGGCTTTCACGTTAGTCTGTGAATGGCGAAGTGAGCTTCTCTGGAAACGCTCTTAACCAAGGGTCTCCCACGTCCCCTCCGCAGGCATTGCCCACTACCGGGAGCTTCCGTCTCCTCGGAAGGAGAAGACACCTGCTATAAAGATGTCTGCACCCTCCCTCCTGTGGGGCCACCCTTAGGACTCCACACTAAAAATGCGCCTGAATAGAAGCCCTGAGCTCGATGGCGCTGGGGCGAGAGGGGCAGCAGCACAGGAAGAGATCCGCTCTGGTGGGAGGGGCGGGGCATGCTCTACTTCAGGCCCCGCCTCTTCTCAGTCCCGTCCAATCAGACCCCACCCAGCCCACAAACGGGCACCGCCCCCACTCCCGCGTCCTTTTTAAAAACTCGCGGGTGTGTCCTGCGCAGGCCTAGTACTGCTTGCGCCTTAGCCGCGCAGGCGCTATACGCGCTTGGCTGGAGCCGCGCAGGCTCGGTGGTCCAGGATGGCGGAGTTGATTCCCTTTGCGGTTCCCACCGGGAGTGACAAAACTTTGCTGGTGTGGGATTTGAACTCTGGACCCACTGCAGAGGCCTTGCATGTGAGCTGGGGCCAGGAGAAGGGGGGAGGAGGCCGCCCTCGCTGACTAGGTCCGGGACTCCCGCCCCAGGGCCGGCCCCTCGAGGGCTCGGTCTCGCGGGGACCAGCGGGGACGCCCAGGCTTGGCGGAGATAGGAGCCTCTCGGCCCCGCGCCGCCGCCCGCCGGGCTCCTGCCCCGGCGCTGCCCGCTCGAGAGAGTGCGCGGTGTTGAGGTCGGGGGCTCAGCGCCTCCCCGGGCCGGGCCGCCGCAGCGGTCTCTGTCCACAGCGCTGTCCTGCTTCGGCCTCCTGCACTCGGTCCGCGTTCTCCCCAACGCCTCGGTGGCCCGGCCTGGTTTCTACGCCGTGGTCAAATTTTACTCGGCCAGAGCTGCCCGAAGAGCCCAGCAGGCTTGCGACGGAAGGCCGCTGGCCCAGAGCGCCCCGGTGAAGGTGGGTTCCGAGCTGGCTCCAGGCTTCTGGGACCAGTGCTGAGCTCGGTGAGGGGAGCGTTGGGCGCGCCGGCTGCAGGGTGCTTCCAGATGCACAGCCGCGCGGTCTTGCAGTGCCAGGCTCCTGTAGATGGAGAAAACCACACTCAGGATGGTCAAGGGGGCCCTTAAAGGTTCATGACACTATCTGGAAACTCATGTCATTCTGTCTTGCCCTGCAAAATATCTTCACCAGAAGGATTTATTTTTACTTTGATGTGGATTTAAAATGTGAGTTTGTTAAACTCTCTTGTCAGTGGTAACATAAAGGATGCTTTTATCATCGTTACCTCCAACTGCCTGTAAGAACACCCTTCAGTGCCAAGCAGACAAGCGAAACATTCTTCACTGCGGTGTAGAAACCCTTTCAGTGTTAACCTGCCGACCAATTCTCGTTCCCAGAGCCCCAGGACAATAGCTCATTGTGCGCTGCGGCCTCCGCTCGGGCACCTTTCTTCTCCGACCCTTTCGGTTCCTGACCAGCCCTTCCATCTGCTTCATGCTACTGACCTTGCTGCCGGTTCTTTTTCATAAGAGTTTCTCTCCTTGCTTTAACCTTGATTGCCCTTAGAACACTACTCAGCAGTGACCACAAGTGCACTACGTGAACGTCTATGTTCTGTTCAACACCCCCTTCCATCCCGGATCCACTTCCTGTGATCGAAATGATTACCCTTCAGGCATTCTTTTAAGTTTTGGACCATGATCTGGAATCACTTAATACAGTAGATGGTACTGGAAAGATTACCAAACAGTTACTTGAAATCATTTTGTGAGCCATGTGAGTTTTTAGTGATCCTGGGGCACGGGGACCGTTTTGTAAACCTGAGCTTTTGAGAATTTCACTGTGAAAAGCCCATCACTGGTAGAGTGATGAAGGGCATGTTCAACACGTCAGTGTATTTTTTTTTTCTTTTTGTACTGGGAATCAAACTCGGGTTCTTGAGCCTGTAAGGCAGGCAGTGTAGCCACTGAGCTAAATCCCCGGTCCTAGTCAGCGTGTTTTTGAGGGAAAGCATCCATATTAGATTTTTTTTTTTTTTTTTACTTAACATAGAGTCTTAGGTTCTCCCCTACTCTCCAAATTATTACCTAGTTTGATTATAAGTGTTCTTTCATGCTTTGGCAAGAACACATAGTTCTTGGTTTTATAATTACAGGAAAGAGAATAATAGTTTAAAATAAAATCAAGGAGGGGCTGGGGATTTAGCTCAGTGGTTTCGCTGCCTGCTGCGCAAGCGCAAGGACCTGAGTTCGATCCCCCGTACCAATAAATAAATAAATAAATAAATAAAATAAAATCAAGGAAAGGCCCAAGGCACCTGAGAGTTGTGTTCTACTTCCTGTTCTAGGAAAATGATAACCAGCAAGAACTGTGGCAAGGCTGTCTAAGGTGACAACTGTCCGTAATGCCCAGGGCTGTCCTCCTTAGGGCCCCCTGAAGCTTCCCTGTTAACTAGAAAAGCTCCAGAGTGACTCACTGTACAGACCGGCCCTGGACATTAAAAAGCAGCCTTCATTTCTCCTTCACTCAGTCATCAAACCTTCAACCCTCTGAGAAGCCAAGAACTGTGCTGGGTTCTCAGAATGAGACAAATATGAGAATTGGTCCCTGGGGCACTTAACGAGCTGATAAACTAGGGTAGAGGAAGAAGATGCATAAACAGATCAATAAAAAATTAAGAATGCTTTGACTTTATATTGTGCAAATTTGATTAAAACATTCATAAACTGTACTCTTTTAGAAATGGAATAGACACTCAAAAAGACTAGTGATGAAAGAAATTCACAGTACCATAGAAGATGTTTAGAGGTTAAGAGTGCATTGGTGTTTGCATTCTCGGAGAAGCTTGGTCATGCAGATGAGGGTTTTAGCTGCTGGTGAAACGCAGAGGGGTGTGATCCCTCCTCCCCAGGGCTGCTAACTGAGAGGGCGGGGCGGCAGTTTTTTCGTTTGCTCCTTAGGTCCTATTGGTGAGCAGTGCCCACTGGATAGGAAGACAGAAACAACTTCTCTACTCACAACCTGAGGATTTTTCTGTAGCGCCTCCCAAGTTGCTTTTATCATCAGTATTCAGCACCAGAGGTCCGGGAAACCTTCCTGTTGCTCAGGGACCCTGAAAATGGTGCAGAGGTTGAAAAAGAATAAAAAGCATTTAGGCCTCGCTGTGCACACCGTGCTTCAAGTGTTCTTTCCATCCTATTTCATCTTCACAACCTCTCTGTGAAGTCTGTATTGACAGTCTCAGGAATGGGCAAAGTGCGATCTTGGCTGGTCATGGTATTTGCTGGTGCATCTCTTGTGACCTCAGGTTCATCTTGGGAACAGACATAAAGCAGTTCGACACCAGACCCTTCCCCTGAACAGTTCACGATGCCAAGAGTTGGCAAATTACTACTTTGGTTTCAATGGATGGTCAAAACGGATCATCAAGGTAAGCTTTGTAGATTTCTGCTGACTAACCAGACCCTCTTTTCAACATTATAACCCTAGACTTCAGACAGAAGGATTGAACGGGGTTTGAGGAGGTGTGTAGGTCACCTGTCGTGGGGGGAAGTGGCTATGTCTGAATCGGCCACCACCTAGAATGAAGCCATCTCAGTCACGTGGCTGGTGGTGTCTGTGTTTTCTCCAGTGTTTGTGAGGTGCTTAGTAAAAATGGCCACCTACATCTAATAATTCACCTGCAACTCTTGCTTGGTTGACCCTACGGGACACCTCAATTTTTAGCTGTGATAGTTAACTGGAGGTTAGTTTGTATTTCTTTATTTTAAAATCCTGGGTGGGGGCTGGGGATATAGCTCTGGGGCAGAGCACTTGCCTAGCATGTGTGAGGTCCTGAGCTCAATCCCCAGCACCACAAACCATAGCAAAGATCTTTAATTCAAAATCCTGACAGCTGCAGGAGCTTTCTGATGTTGAAGGAAGGGAAGATGCAGCTCTTGCGACACCGGCACAGGCAGGGAAGAAGAGCCTGAAGTTCCTGTGTGCTGTGGAGGTGGTGCTGCCGGCCTACGAGTGCAGGAGCCCTGGGTCCGCCGTTGTGGAGGGGCCTCTGGATGAGCTGGAGGAGGGTCTGTTCTCGGTGGGCGGACGGGGGGCTGAGGGCTCTCTTTGTTTCTTTCTTTTTAGAACCCACTTCTTAGCTACCTTGCAGAGCTACTGAAGTCCTTCCTGGGCAGCATTTTTGTGTTCTACAATATAGATTTTCACCTTGGGCAAAGCCTGGGAGAACCTTTTGACTTGAAAATTGGAGCACTGCCTTTCAGCCAAGAGGCTTAGGAGGAGGAAGGAAATGATGTTTCTCCAGGTTTTGATTACGAAATTGCTGTATGCTAAAATAGCTCTTCAAATGCAGATCTTCTGTAGTCTTCAGTTATCTCGGCAAAATCATCATCTAAAGATTTCCATAAATTCTTGTGTAAACATTCATTCCTTTGTCTACACATGGAAGGGTTTGAGGAGAAAAAGAGTGGAATATGGATACCTGGAAAGGATGGATTTCTCTAGAGTCCACAGCCTTTTGCTTTGGGGCTCAGTCCGGGGCAGGGTGCGGGACAGGAGCAGTAGGTTGCCGTGGCTGCTGAGCAGGGAGCGGCCAGGTCACCTGCTCTACCTCTGAACCCTTCCTACTGTTTTTCCAGTCTGGATGCACAGCAGCATGCTGGGTGTGCAGGACAGGGTTCCACTTGTCAGTGTGACCTCTGGGGGGGGCGAGACTTGTTCCAAGTTCCTGGCTGAGCTCTCCCTGTGGTGTGGCAGGGACGTCCTCAGTAGATGAGGGCAGAGAGCATGGCCCTACCAGGGTCTGCCTGCCACCGACCATTCCACCAGACCCTCGTGCTGTGCCTGCCTGGAGGCCCCAGGATAACCACCTAACAGTCATGGATGTGTTGTTACCTTTAACACAGAACACTCATCAGACTCCTTTCTTTGGGTTGCATCTAGGGCCGATGGCATTGCTTATGAAGAGAAAGGTGGCCCAGAAGCTTGCTGCTCAGAAGGCTTTGACAGACGCATTCCAGAAAGTGTGCATCGTGGCTCTGGGTGAGACCTTGGTTGTTCTGGAAGTACTTCTGTTTCAATGAGCAAATGACTCATTTTGAAAAGTTGACAAAAATAAGGGTATTTAAAACACTCCACATTACGCTTTTATTCACTCACTTCTTTTACAACAATGGTTTCACATTTGTTTTTTGTGACGTTTGTGAGAAAAAGGACAGCGAATATTGTCATCCTCCGTTTATTGATGTACAACAGCTTGCCAAAAGTCACCCAGAAAGTGTTTGTCTGAAGTCTTCTTTCTCCTGTCTGTCATACAGAATTGTGATGGTAAGCTATGGGCATCTGGTCTTGAGCCCTAATTGTTTCTCTTCGATTTTTTAGCGCACTTTTGCGTTTATAGCCAAAGAGCTTTGTAGATAATGTTATGTCTCTAATCTGCAATCCCAATAAAACAAGGCTCGTAATTCTGCCTACCTTGTCGGGAGGTATTGGAAGAGCACCTGAAAGGATGAGTGTGAAGTCTCCAAACAGTGCTTACCTGGTAAGCAGAAGAGTAGGCTCATGATTAGGGCAACAGTTTGGTTTCCAAATAAGTAGATAGACTCTACTGAGTCAATAATTCAGGCTTTGTTTTCATTCATGGCACTGAAGGAATGACCCAGGTGAACCTGACTCATGATAATCTGCCGCTTTCACATGAGCCCTGGAGGTGGTCATGCTACTGACTGGCCTTGGGCTCCCTATTGAGTTTTACACTGGGGTGAACGTTCCAGCTGTGCTCCAAGGAAACTTGAGCAGAGAGTCCCCAGCAGAGCTGCTCTCCTGCTGCACAGCCTGCAGGCTGAGACCCTGAGAGCTCCTCGTCCTCATCAGCTTGTGCGAGGTGGGTCTAACTGGTCTCAGCCTTCCAGCCTGGGCAGCCCTTCCCTTCCGGTGCAGTCTGACTTCCGAGGTCCTCAGCTGGGACTTCCTTCAGTGGCAACAGTTGAGGTAACCTTTGAGAAGCAAAGTGAATGTCTGGGCTGTTTTCCTCTGCCTTGTATGCTGTGGTGTCCTGTGCAGGAGGAGCTCAGAGCTCCTCGGACCAAGGCCTCTGGCTCTGTTTGCTTGAGGAAAGCGGAGGTGTGTCTAAGTACGTGGGGTGCTGGCGATCAGGGGCTGCAGTGCTTTCTCTGAAGCTTCGCTCATTGCATCCCAGGGCATTTCGTTTTTGGAGAGTAAAATATTGCCCTTTCCTACTGATCTGAAGTATCAACCTGAAGTATCTGTGGTGTCCAGCCAGTCCTTTTGGCTCCACTCCCTCTTTTCCTGTTCAGTTGTTTGAACATGTTTGTTTCCAAATTCCTGCCATGATCCCTTAGTTCCTGTCTTAAGGTCACAAAGTTCTCTGAAGCAGATTGTTAGGGTTCAGCTCTAGAATGGGCCCCCAAAGCCTCATGTGTTCAGAGGTGGGCTTTTAGAAGGTAATTGGATCATGGGGGTGCTCTGCTCCTCAGTGGATTAATCTCTTGATGAGTTCAGAGCCGAACTTGCTCTTAGGAGTTGGGGTCACTGGGGCCTTCACCCGGAAGGGTGCCTCTCCCACCCTGGCTCCTCGCTTCCCTCTCTGCTGGCCGGTGTGACATGAGCAGCTGTCTTCTGTGCCAGGCCCTTCCACCACGCCCAAGGCGGAGGGAAGCTTCCGAAGCCATCAGCCAGAATAAACCTCCCCACTGTAAGTTGTAGGTGTCGGGTATTTTGTCCCAGCAATGAGAAAGTGACTAAGAAACACAATGGCTATTGTGTGCATATTTTTAAGCAAATAGTTGTCTTAAAACTGAAATATGTGATGAGGACATTTCTAGGAAAATGCTCTCATTTTCTGCTTTTAGAAATCAAAAGAATGTCTCACCGTTGGATGCTACCACTGTGTGCAGAAAGTTTCAGAACAAGAAAAGGGCTAAATTAACTCTGTTCTGTTAACTGTTTCAGAGAGTGGTAAGATAGCTGTGGAGTACAGACCCGGAGGGGAGACCACAGGTACCAGAAACGGAGGACTTCAGGGTTTAATGCAGGTGCGTGGGGGTGAAAGCTCGAGGTTCTGTCACCATTGTAGTCATGATTCAGATGACCAAGCAGTAGCCAATGAGGAGGGCCGGGCACATGCAGCTCAGTGTCGGAGTGCTCACCTAGCAGGTGTGAGGCCGTGGGTTCCTGCGTCAGTACTGCAGAAAGCGAACAGAAGAAAAACAATCACAAGACTTCAGATAGGTTATTCTGAAGAAGATAGGAAATTCCACAACCACTGTTGAGTACACTGCATATCTAAGGCTTTTCCTAAAGTCCTGGCCCCAACCCCTTGTCTGAAGTTTGGAGAGTAGAACTGAGGCCCTCAGATGCTGCTATAGCTGTGGACCCAGGGTAGGGGTGGCCTCTTTCAGAGACCTGAGGAGGCCGGGCTCCGTTTTTGAACTCCCCCCACCAAACAGGATCCCGGGCCAAGTGCGATTGTGCTACGGCTTTGCGGAGGTGGCTCATTCCTGTGTCTCAGCGACTCCCTGCGCCCTGAGTAGAGTATTTTGCTGAAGAGTCTTTCTGTGGGAAAACCCTACAGAAATTAGTCAGTCAGAGATTAAGTTCCTAAGTAATTTCTGAAAGAAAATAGCCATTATTTACTATATGGAGGATGCTAGGAGGCAGACACAAGTGGGAACTCAGTTTGGGGACTGTTGATGATGCGCAGGATCCTGAAGTCATAGAGTGTTTTGTTTGGAAAAGGTAGAGAGGTAGCAGAAGTTTTTTTCATGTAAATGAATGATTAGTTCATTTGAAATAAAATCAGTCAAGGAAATGAGAAATCCTAAGAAGTCTGTCTTCTTGTGAAAGGCAGTCAGCACTGATTTCAGAAATCCGATTCTGATGGGGTCCGCCTCTAGAGGAGGTGACTGGCACCACCAGCATGTGCGGGGCTCCCCGAGCCAGGGCTGCCCTGGCACTAGGCAGTGGTGAAGCACACTCACGCCAGAAGGGCTGTGCGGGGCGCGGGCTTGGAGCCCTGCCCCGGAGAGGCGTTTGCCCCTGCACACTTGCCATGCAGCATCTTCTCCCCAGGTGTGGTGGGTGTGGCATGGTCACGCTGGGGGACAGCCAGTGGAAAGCCCTGTCTACTGGGATTCAAACCTCCTCCATCGGATTAAATTGCCCACCGCCCAGACCCCCTGCAGAAATCCTGCTGTCATCACGGAGCCGGTATAGCCCCAGCCTCACAGAGGGGATGAGTGGAATATGGAACTGGCCTCTGAGTTCAGACCAAGGGGCAGCGCTGGAGGAAATCTTCTTCCTGTGTGTCCCCCTGACTCACCCACCTGGCCTGCATTTTGCAGGTCGGATGCCTTGCTTGGGAGCAGTACAGCCAAGGGGAGGAAGATTTCAGGGATTTCAGCGTGGAGGAGGACGAACTCAGGCCTCTAGGATGGGACCAGCCGGTGACCTAGGTGGGATGCTCACCCTGCCCAGCCCCACGCCAGCTCTGAGGCCACGTCCTGCCTGCTGGGGAGCGGCTAGGCCTGCTCACCGAGGGAGAAGCCTGCCCCTTTCCTCAAAGCCCATCTGGGTTAGATCCTAATGAAGGTTTGGTAACCAGGCGTCATAGATGAGGGCAAGCAGAGGTGGGCTGGGGTGGGATGTGGCCCGTTGCCAGGTACAGTCAAGTGGCTGCCCTGCAGGTGTGGCGCTGACACCCCACTGGCCTGGATCACCCCGCCCCAGCATCTGCAGGTAGTGTTCCTCTGCACACCTGGCCTCTGTTTCCTCGCGTGGTAGCTGTGGCTCTGGTCCTGGCCGCACCCTTTCTGGAGTGGACCTGACACCTGGTCCCACTGGACCCTGATCCCCAGGCCTGCTAAGCTCTGGTCTTTGCTCCAGTCCCACCTGAATCCCTCTTCCCCACCCTGCATACCCCGGGGCCTTTGAAGGCCTGGGGTCCTCTGCTCCCACCTCAGGAGTGGCCTGAGGGTTTGTTCCCGTTCCTGGACAGGGATTCAGCTGGACAGCTGTCCCTAGAGCCACATCAGGGTCTGTGGGGTGAATTCACGTGGCCAGAGAGATACCCACAGGTGGATCTGCTGCCAGATGGGGATCAGAGCCAGACCCTGGCTGTGCCTCCGTGACTCAGGAGGAAGATCTGACTGCCTGCCACTGGCAGTACCTGTTCCTCCTCTAGAGATGGTCGGGGTCTAAAAGCAGCAGTGTTACTCTTTCCCCCTTGAACCTGGAGGAGGAGCAGCTCAGCATCTGTGACTCGCTGAGGTGGAGGTGGGAACTCCATGTCAACTTGTAAAACCTAAGCTTCAGAAAAAACTTCACTGGATGATTTTGTAGACCAAAGTGCGGACGAAGATGAGCACGACAGCCTTGATCCAGAGACCCAGAAGAACCCAGATGAGCCTCAGAGGCCCCTGGACAAACTGCACCTTCTCATTTCCAGCTGGAGGCCCAGACTCTCCACCCAGAGACTCCCCAGGTCCAGTCCTTTTCTCCTCAGCAAGAAACCACAGCTCAGTTCTCACAGCCCGGAGGAAGGGGAACCTTCACCCAGCAGGAGGCCCAGGGTCAGCCTGACCTTGCTGCTGAGGAGGGTGGAGCAGCTGTTGGTGCTCAGGAGGTAAAAGCTCCATCTCCAGGTCGGAGGGAAGCTCGTCACTCACATGAGCCATTGGTCACAGTTAATGCGGCTGTGGAGGACATGAGGACCATGCAGGGAGAGGAGGAGGCTCAACCTCCTCCAGCCCGCAGGAGGCCCCAGCTCAGCCTCCATGCTCTCTTGAGAAGACTGATCCTTCCCCCATGAGCAGGAACAGCCAGATCAACCTGTTGAGGCGCCGGAGGAGGTGGAGCCTTCTGGAAGCCCCAGGTCAGCCTGCCATCCCCCGGAAGATGTGATACTGACACAGTCATGACACGGAGACCACCATGGGGGCAAAGGACAAACTCACTCCCGGGCCCTTACCTTGTTACTCATTAAAAGCACAATTTGTTTTCTTCTGAGATAGTCAGGGACTTAAAAGCAGTATTTGCTAAAACCTGTGGCCCTTCACTCGGGCCTGCACATGCCCAGTAGGTAACTGACAGGAGAATGAAGCTTGGCCTTTTGTGAAACTGGATCAGATTCTCAGCTCTGCATATTGGCATGTTAGTCATTTGGGAGTCTTCTAACAGAATGAAGTTTATTGGCCCTAGATTTACCTAGCCTGTTCCATTCATCCCTTTCAAGATGACACCAAGGTAAAACTAGTTCTCAGGGTTCACAAGGACATCCGATGGTCAGCCCTTATAGGCCTCCAGCCATTGCCCTAAACCCGCGCTCACCTGGGTTCCGGAACAGGGACGACCACTGCATGGAATGAAACCAGAACCGCTGCCCAAGGCACGAAGATCCAGACGGGAAATCAGGACTGAGTCCTGATCAGTGGGACCCCGGCCACCGCTGCCAAGCCTTAGAAACCGCTTCCTGCTTTGTGGGTGTGGTGCCCGGCGCCCTGCGTGGGACTGGGCCCCTCACCTCCTCAGGCTGAGTTCTCTGCCTGTTGCTGTCACTTTCCTTGGAAGGGGACCGGCTTGATCTTGGTCACAGTTGTGCTCCCTTTATTTTCTCTTAATTAAAGTTTTTGCAAATTCATTCTTTACTTTTAATTTGTATTATCTCTACAGCAGAGCTCCATGCTAGCTGGTGACGAACACACCCATTTCTTATCCAGGTGATGCTGGGGATTGGACCCAAGGCCTCGGGCACGGTGGGCGAACGCTCTGCTGCCACCACAGCCCTGCCCTGTGCCTCCCTTCTCACTGCTCAAGTGAACGTCCAGGAGCACCAAGCACAGTCCCACGGCTGTACAAGGGTGTGCGCCTAGGGATTTTATTCTAGTAATAGTTTTATAGTTTTTTGGCGGGGAGACAGGATCTATTATGTCACCTGAGCTGGCCTGAACTCCTGGGCTTAAGAGCTTCTCCTGTCTCAGCCTCAGTAGTTGGAGTTGTAGCGATGTGCCAATGGGCCCAGCTTGTATGGGGTTAATGCAATATATATATATATATATATATATATTTTTTTTTTTTTGGTACCAGGGATCGAACTTGGGTCCTTGCACCTGCACAGCAGGCGCCAGAACTACTGAGCTAAATCCCCAGCCCTTAATTTTTTTTTTTTTTTGATGCTGGGGATGGAACTCAGGACCTTGTGCTTTCCAGGCAGGCATGGTGCCACTGAGCTAAATCCTGGGCCCAGCCGTTTTGCTTTTTACTTTGACTCAGGCTCTTGCTGAATCACCCAGGCTGACCTGGGACTCGCTGCCCTCTTGGTACACTCCAGTGCCCTGGAGGTGTCTGGCTCCCTGATAGCTGGAGTCCAGATGTACACCTAAATAAACCTCTTTACAGACACCCAGCCTGAGGTATTTAGTTAGCGCCACACAGAGCGTCTGTGACAGCCTCCTGTTCCTGCTCCTGTGTGACACCCCTCTGCCCTCCCTGCCTAGTGGCGTGACTCATCTGGTCTTAGGTTTCTGCCAGGTCCCCAAGACCCCCAGTTCCCCTTTTTAGCACCCGCTGCTGCTAATGCCAGCTGCTGATTCTGCCTGTGGGAGGCCTGCTCAGCAAGACCTGGGCAAGCACAGCCAGGAGTCCCATAGCCCCCGGCCACGAGCTCCCCACACCCTTCCTCTGCTCACAGAGTGGAAGTGGGCAAGGGGGTGGAACAGGAGCTCAGCCCTCCCAGGTGGCAGCAGAGCCAGGGCCAGGCCTCAGAAAAGGAGGCAGAAGTGGTGGCCTTGGGTACCTGAGCACATACCCCAGGGTGTTCTGCTTGGTGTCTGTTGAAGCTCTCTGCTGAGGGACCTGTCCACATCCCCCACCTCAAGGCAGGGGTTGAAGAGTCCATCTTGGAGGTATCTGATCCCTGCTGATGCCACCAGGGCTCCAGGGCCAGGTTAGGGCTTCAGCGCCTGTGCACAAGTGAGTTGAGGTCCCTGCAGGTTGGAAGGTGGGGGAAGCCTGCCCACTCACTTGTAGGGTGTAGAGCCTTCTCCCCCATGCCAGCTGGCTCCAGTGGGAAGAGGCCAGGAGCCCAGGGGTGAATGTCAGCAGGGTCCAAAAGAGCCCAGGGACCCCCATTCACCAGGGGCGGGGTGCAACATCCCTAGCAGCTGCCACCCTCAGACATTGGACCGTGAGCTCATGGTCCGTTTAGGGATGAGGAAGCCCCTGCTGCAGTCCCCTGCCTGGCCTGGCCTGGCCTGGAGAGGACTCTTGGGGGCTGCTGGGAGCAGGGCTGGTAGGTTGGCGGGCTCTGAGATCCGAGAGCTTGATGGCTACTACCTTGCTCCTTCCTTGGAGGATGGATGAATGATGGATGGAAGGATGGATGGAAGGATGGATAGATGGAAGAGTGGAAGGATGGATGAAAAGATAGATGGATGGAAGGATGGATGATGGAAGGATGGATGATGGAAGGATGGAAGGATGGACGGATGATGGAAGGATGGATGGATGGATGATGGATGGAAGGGTGGGTGGATGGAGAGAGGGGGCATCCAGACAGATCTTCAGTCTTTCGGTTTCCACATTTTCCCTTCATCAGAGCCGTCCATCCTTCCTCCTTTCCACCTCTCTGCTGTTCCCTGACACCATGTCTCTCTTTTATTTTTTGAAACACTGTACTTAGGCTGGCTTTGAACTCACTCTGCAGCCCAGGCTGGCCTCAAACTTGCGGTGATCCTCCTGCCTCAGCCTCCTGAGAGCTGGGATAACAGGCGTGCGTGTGCCACCACGCTGCTGCATGTCTCTTTCTTGCAGCTCCTCCTCGAGCTTGCTGGTGTGCTTCTCTCCTGCCCTGCTTTCACTCTAAGCATCAGAATCTGGGAACCAGGACCAGAGAGGGCATCCCAGCAGGGCCATCTCTGTGCGACCTGCTTTCCGCTGCGCTTGGCTCTCCACTTACACAGATCGCGTCCCTCATCCCCTTCATCACCCTGTGCAGAGATGGGGACCAGCACCCTGTTTTACAGAGGACCCTGGGGTGTGTGCACGGGCTGCAGCTGCACATCAGATCTGGGCCTGGGGTCTTCTCTGTTGCAGGCTGCCTGCCTTCCCCCATGTGGAAGCAGTGGGGGCCAAGCGAGTGGGTCCAGGAGCCCTGTGTATAAAGTGGGTTTATGGTGTTACCATGGTGACCAGTGATCCTAATGGCTCTCATGCACTGGGACTTTCCCAGGTCCACCTGGCATTCAAGGGCTTGTGTGTACCTTGTCCCTGTTACACCAGAGGGCATCTGGGGATAAGGGAGGGGGTGCCTTGGCCAAGTCGCACAGCTTCTAGTTGCCAATCCAGGATTCGGTGCAAACGTCTTGGTCCACTCACGGGCACTTACTACGTGGCCGGTGTCCTCTGAAGCATTTTACACAGATTCATGCATTCTATCACTGTGCCACTCTGTGAGACATTCACCTTGTATGAGAGGCGGGCTCCGAGCCCTCGTGGACATCTGGAGCCCGTTCACGGGAATCCAGCCCAGGCAGGCTGGCTTGACAGCACTGTAAAAAAATAAGCAAAGATATTTTTCTTAAGAAAATTGAAGTATAGCAAACACTCACAAACAAGCAGAAATGGGAGCTGTTCAGCCCCAGGGATACTGACAAGGCGGGTGCCGCTAAGTAAGGAGTAAATAGATGCTACTTGTGCTCTGCAGGGCTGCTTCCATCCTTCTCCCCAACGTGACCCTCAGCCGGATTCCTTTTCAGTTCTGGGGATTGAACTCAGGCCCTTTAAGCTCCACCCTCAGCCCTTTTTGTTTTTTTATTTGAGACAGAGTCTCACTAAGTTGCCCAGACTGGCTTCAAACTTTCGGTCCTCCTGCCTCAGCCTCCTGAGTAGCTGGGATTACAGGTGTGCACCAGCTTCTCTAACCTGATTTTTTAAATTCTGATTTTTAAATTGTTAGATTGATTTTGCCTGTTTTTGAATTTTACATAGTGTTGTTCACTAATAGTCTTTTGATCAATATATGATTCGTCTATATTGTTAGATGTAAATAGCTTACTTATATTTACTATTCTACTTGATTCTATTGTGGGCTTTTCTGGAGTGTTTTTAGGAGCGTTTTTAACCATATATTGTGGAATACATTTTATTGGGTATATATCTAGAGGCAGATTTACCAGTTGCTTCCAAGTGGTTGTACAAATTTGTTTTCTTTCTTTTCTTTTTTTGGTACCGGGGATCGAACTGTGGACCTTCTTGTGCTTGCAAAGGAGGTAATAGGACCACTGAGCTAAATCCCTGGCCCTAAATTTGTTTTCTTACTAGTGTTATATGAGAGTCCTCTTACTTCACACTGTGGTATTGTTAAATTTTACCTCTCTAGTGGGTGTGCAGTGGTATCATTCCTGTTTTTCTATGTGTATTTATTAAATAAAGCATAACTAAAAGCAAGCTGTTTTTTGGTTTTGTAGTCTGGACTGGCCTTGAGCTATGTAGCTCAGGCTGGCCTTGAGCTGGAGATCCTCCTGCCTCAGCCTCCTGAGTGTTGGGATTACAAGTGTGTGCTCAGAACAAGTACTCAACACCCACTGTACGGCTTCTCCTGACAACCCTGTGAACTGGGGATTTTGCAGATGAGTGAATGAGGTAGTTACTCCCTCTGCTCCTCGGTAGCAATCATCTTTCCTGGGCCCTGCCCTGCTTTGCCAGTGGTGTTAGGGTGTCCTGACACCACCAAGCTTGGTTGGCCCCTTAGGCCAGGGAGGAGGAGGAGGGAGAGGCTGAGGGATGAAGGCTGGGGTGGGGGCTGGGATGGGAGTGGCAGGGCCACAGAGGGTGGGACTGCCCTGGGGCTCCTGCTATGGGGAGGGCCCTGTGCGCAGGGGCGGGACCTCTCCGGAGCCCAAGCCCTCTTCCTGCAGTTCACTGAGTCTACAGACCCCTCTGGGGGTCTCTGAGCCTCATGACCTTGGGAGATTCCTGGGCCCCTCTAGGGTCTTTTTGGGTGGTGGCCCCTCATTCCTGAGCTGGCAGAGCAGGAGGCAGGCCTCTGGGAGTGTAGGGAAGGCACAGGTGTCTCTGCATCTGCCAGGGCCAGGGCCACCAGACACAGGCAGCCTTCCCTCCACAGGACAGAGGTCAGGTGAAGCGCTCTGCGCTCCTGCCTCTGCAGTGTCCTGGGCCCCCAGGACACACTTCCCCTGTGGGGTTCCAGCCCCGGTCACTGCAGAGGCGGGAAGTGTAGTCTGCACATGTCCGGCTGCACCCGTCGCAGGCCCTGTGCTATGAGGGGAGCCCAGTCACCTCTCCAGTGGTGACAGGGCTCTCTCACGCCGCAGCACCATTTACTCTGCTTATGTCCTGTGCAGGCTGCAGCTACTGAGAAAGAGACGCCGTGAAGAGAAAGAGACCCTGGGCCTGAACCACACAAGACAGCCCGAGCTCCTAGACCTTGGCACCGCGGAGCTGGAGGGTGTCTGAGCTCAGCACTTTCCCCATTGTCCAGATGGTAAAACTGAGGCTGAGGAAGGGGTCGTGGTCTCCAAGCTGGCAGGCCGCAGGGCCGGCTGGTCTGCAGAGGAACCCGGCTCAGGCAGCCTGACTGCGGGGAGCTCTCCCTGCCCCACCTCTTCCCAGTCTCGGGGAGGACCTGGGCTCCACGCCCTGCACCTGGGCTGGACCAGGCCTCCCTGTGCATGTGGGGTTGCTATGGAGATCCTGGCTTCGCTGGTGGGGTCCCTGCTGGGGCAGGGCCCTGGAGGGCATGAAGACAACAGGGATCTGTGCCCCCTACTTGGTGTGGACACAGGAGACTGTCGAAGTCAGGAGGGGCCGGACCCATCCCACAGCACGGTCACCATTCCTGAAGAACACTGACAGCCGCTCTGGAAGGCAGCGCAGTGTAGGGGTTACACGCGCAGGCTCTGGAGCCAGAGTGCAGACCAGGGCACCAGGTCGGCGATCCCCGAGCCCAGAGCGGTGCCCTTCCCAGGGTCCAGCCCTCTTTCGTGGCATCCGTTCCCAGCCAGTTTGAAGGTGTCCTAGCAAGACTCTCCGAACCTTGAACCCAGAACCTTGAACCCGCGCAGATGTGGGGTGGAGGAGCCTGGGCGTGGCGGGGTCTTCTCCATCCACGCATGGGGCAGTGCAGGAGAGGATGCTGGCGCGGGGGGCTTCATTTTCTGGCTGAGCCCTGGGCCGGGAAGGAGGGCTAGGCCGTGCCTTTGGGTGGTCTCAGTCCGAGCTTCTAGTTCACAAGGAGGCAGCACCTCGTCCGCTCCTGCACCCCACTCCTTGGGTTCCAGAGCCTTCTCATCCATGGCCCCATTTTGCCCCCAGTGGCTCTGTGGGAGGCGTTTGCTGGACGGGAGGAATCGTCCGGAGAGCTGTTACATGCAGTGCTCCAATTCCGGCTCTCCCGTCTCTCTGAATATGGCCTGTCCCGCTGCAGGCGGAAGGAACCGGAAGCCCAGTCCTCTGGGAGCCTCCAGGTGGGTGGAGACGCAGGTCCGGCCACCTGTGGATCTCCTGCCACGTGGGAAGCTGCATTTTCCAGCAGGAGAGGGCGAAAACCCGTGCATCTACTACACGTGCGCGCTTTGCCCAGGTATCTGTCTCTTACTGCAAGACCCCTACTTTGCAGACAGGCACGAAGCCAGAAGTGTTAAGTAACGAGTTTCTGGGTCCCCGGTGATTCAGGTGACACAGCGGGGTTCGGATCCAGTCCAGTCGGATAAAGGTGACACCTGTGCTCCCTGCTCTGCCATGGAAGATATGGCCCAAGGGTCACCTGAGTGACCCTGCGTCCGGGCCCGCAGTGTCCCGTGGAACTCCTCCCGGGGCACCTGCTCCCTTCCCAAGTTGATCCATTTGCACGCTCGTCTTCCGCAGCAGCAGGGGGCGCCCGGCGAGAGCCGAGAGCGAGGCCGCCCCACCTCCGGGCCCAGGATGGAGCCCAAGGCCCCTTGCATGACCCTCGACAGTGATGGGGTGGGGAGGACACAACGGGAAGGACTGGGGGCTGGGTGGGTGCTGGAGCTGAGGGTGGAGTCGCGGACCCTGCAAACCTTTCCGGGCGCCCGTCCTCCGAGGTGGGCTGGAGAGAAGCCCGGACTTGCCCCGCGCTACCCACTCCCGCCCTACTGCAGTCTTCACGGTGGCCAGTAGGTGACGCCAGCCCGCAACTTTTGGTCCGTCCCGCCGTCCCGCACAGACCCTTCTTCCTCCATCGCCTCAGCAGGCTGCCCTTGCGCCAGATAGGAGGCCACCATCCCCCGAGAGGCTGAAGACCTCTGCCCCGGGGGAAGACCCGGGAAGGGGGTCCGGGAGCTGCGCCTCGGTCCAGCGGCTCTGAAGCCTTCTGGGACCCTCCGCAGCGAGTCACCGGCCACGCCAGGACCGCCAGCTCCACACGAGCAAGCCTTGTGGTGGTGGGGGTGAGAATGAGGAGGACCGAGGCGGCAGCTAGGAGCTGGGCTCGGCTGCAGTGCTCCTCCGGGTCTCCTCCAGGTCCCAGCCGGGCTGGAGCGAGGGTGGGGGTCGGGCCACCAACAGGCTGTCACGGGGCGGCCTGGGTGAGGCAGAGAAAGTCACCGCTTCCGCCAGAGCCTCGACTGCCATCTGCTGGGACCCGTCGGAGCGTCGTCATACGAATGCACAGCGGCCACTTGAGCGGCGCCCCCTGCAGTTGTCCCTGCGCAGCTTGCACGGCGCGCGCCGCAGTCTCCCACCCAGGCCGGGCTCCTCCGGGAGCAAAGATCCAGGAAGGAGGAAGGGGCTGGGCGCCCCGCTTCCCCGGAGTGGGGCCAGCTCCGTCCTGGGGGGAGGGCAGGGTGGCCCGGGCCCAGCGGAGCTCTGGGGGCGGAGGGGCGGAGGCTGCAGGGCTAAATGGGGCGAGAGCCTTTCGGCGTCTTGGGGGTTCTCACTGGGTGCTTGGACCCCTGCCCACCTCACCGGCGAGGATGAGCTTGGGCGCACAGGCGAGGGTCGGAAGGGAAGGGCTCTGGCCGGGGAGCCTGAATCCGCGGGCCGGGGGTCCGCAGGGGGCGCTCGGGCTCCTGCCTGGGGCCGGGGCGACGCCTGCAGGGTCGCGGGGGTGGGGGTGGGGGGCCCTTCGCTCTCTCTTTCCGCGCCCGACTCCCGGCTCCCGTTTGGCCGCCTGGCGCTCCGCAGCTCGGGACTCGGGACAGCGCCCCCTCCCCCTGACGGCTCCTCGCCCGCCCCCTCCGCCCCTCTGCCCGCCCCCAGGGCTCCCCCACCTCGGCCGGCGCTGGGGGTGTGGCCAGGGCCGCTATAAAGTCCGGGGCGCCGGGCAGGAGCCGCGCAGCCCCCTGCCCCGCCGCCTGCTGGGCCGCGCGAGGATGCGGCGCTGCGACCCGGCCACCAGGCTCGCTGCGCTCGGGCGCGCTCGCTGACCCCGCCGCGTCCTCGCTGGGCGCCCCCCCGCCCCGCTCGGTTCCTCCGCGCCCCGTGCCCCGCGCCCCGCCCCGCCCGGCCATGCTGTCCCTCTGCCTCGTGGCCGCCGCGCTGCTGGCCGCAGGGCCCGCGCCGAGCCTGGGCGACGAGGCCATTCACTGCCCGCCCTGCACCGAGGAGAAGCTGGCGCGCTGCCGCCCCCCCGTGGGCTGCGAGGAGCTGGTGCGCGAGCCGGGCTGCGGCTGTTGCGCTACTTGTGCCCTGAGCCTGGGGATGCCCTGCGGGGTGTACACCCCGCGCTGCGGCTCGGGCCTGCGCTGCTACCCGCCCCGAGGGGTGGAGAGGCCCCTGCGCACGCTTATGCACGGGCAGGGCTCGTGCATGGAGCCTGCGGAGATCGAGGCCATCCAGGACGGCCTGCAGCCCTCCGGTAAGGCGCCCGCCCTCCACGCCGGCCCGGGGCCTCGACCCCGCGAGCCGGCGAGAAGGCAAAGACGTGGCGGTGTCCGCTCAGCCACGGAACTCCCCGGCCGCTAGTTGCCACCGTCAGGGGGAGCTTTGTCCCAGCCCGTCTCGGACCATTTGGGAAGCGAGATCTGCCAGGCAGGCCGGGCTGCTGATGGGAAGAGGCGGAGCAGGGGAGCCTCGTGCAGCTAAGCCCGCGTCTAGGGCGAGAAAACTGGAGGACGAGGTGGGCGGTGGGCAGCTTCCCGTCCCCCAGGAGAGCGAGAAGCCAGGGTCTGGACTCTCCTCCCATCCTCCTCGGGGTGGAACACAGATGGGGGCGCTGGTGGTGAGAGGCCGTGCCACTGTCTGCCCTGCTGTGCAGGTGCCACCTGCGGTCGCAGGAGGGATGTCCCCCACCTCACCCGGAGCCGCAGAAACCTCGGGTGTGGAGAGAGCCAGAGCCAGGGACAGGGACGGACTCTCAGACGGCCCTGCGCCGTACCCTCCTCGCGCTTTCTCTCTCCCCTCGGCGCGGCTCTCGGCCCCCTTGGTCCTGCTGCGGCTCCCTGCGGGCTGCCCAGCTCCCCGCCTGCCGTCCTGGCTCCCTTTCTTCCCAGCGCCGCCTGATCCCCGGTTACTCTTGCTGCAGCCCTGCGCCCAGCACTTCCCTCTCGGCCCCTTTCTGGGGCTCTTCCTCTCCGTCCGTCCTCGCAGTATCTGGCCCTCCCGCCTCTCTGTGTCCGCCCTGGTCCTCATCCCTGCCTGCTTTGCTGTCTGGGGTCTCTCTCCCTGCTGCCTGAAGCTTCCGTTGTTGCTGTCCGGATGCGGGACTCCGGCCGAGCTTCCTGCCCCGTCCCGGAGGGCTGCACTTCCTCAGTCCTCTGCAGCTTGTTCGCCCGGGAGAGCAGGATTCGGGAAAACAGGAAGGAGTGGAGCAGGAGTCTGGGCCCTGGGCCTCTGGGAAGCGGGTACCGGGGGAGCACCCGCAGACTCGGAGGCACAGAGGCCAGGGCCGTGAGACAGGCTATGACAGCTGAGCCCCCAGGCTCCGGGGGTGCAGTGGGGCCACCTTCCACCAGCCAGCAGGTCCGGGCAGCAGATGGGGTGGCTGGTGGCCCCCTCTGGCGCCAACTTGAACAGAGGCAGAAAAACTGCGAAGCGTCCCCTGGTCGGGCAGGGCAAGTGGGGCTCCTAGGAGACTGCAGCAGGGCGTGAGGAGCCCGGGCTTCTCCTGTGGCTACAGTGCAGCCTGGTCACCAGAGGGGTCTAGGGATGGCAGGGCTTTGGTTCCCCCGTGGGTGACAGAGCCCCCCCCCCCCCCGCCCTGGTCCTTGTCGGTCACACGCGCAGGCATCTGGAGAGGGAGGAGCTGGAGCCCCGAGAACCCTCGCAGAACTTGGTGTGCCCTTGGCAAACTGTGCCCATGCCTTCTCCCTCGTTAGCTGTCACAGGGGCTCCTCCACCATGGCCCGGCCGCACTGCATCATGGGAGAGGCCGGGCCTGCAGGGTAACTGGTGGGGTAGTGGGAGCAGGGCTCACCCCTGTCCCCACTGACCTTTGCCTCCCTCTCCCTCTCTCCCCCTCTCTTTCCCTCTCTCTGCAGTACTGCAGATTGAACCCAGGATTTTCTCACTGAGCTACATCCCCAGCCTTTTTTCTTTTTAAGTCTTTCTTTTGAGATAGGGTTTCACTAAGTCACTACATCGAGGCTGGGCTTGGACTTGTGACCCTCCTGCCTCAGCCTCCTGAGCGCTGGGATCACTGTGCATTGTCCACCATGCCCAGCTCACATGCTGTCAGCAGCCACCGATCCTCCCAGGTCCCCGGGCTCGGGCTTTCTGCCCTGGAATAGCTCGGTAGAGGCCAGGCTATTCTTCTGCCCTTTCCTGCAGGCCTGAGACTGAGCAGGTGGCCAGGGCAGCGTAGTCACTTGGCGTCTTTGCCCCCGGGGTGGGGGTGGGTGTCTCCGTCTCATCCGCACTGCTTGGCCACTCCAGGTCGGGTGGCCCGTGTGTCGGAAGTGCACGACTCTGCAGCGTGGTACCGACCGTCGACTCAGGTGGGGACGTCAGGCCTGGGACGGGGAGCTCCCAAACCAGGCCCGGGATCCCTCTGGGCCAGGGTGAGGGAACAGGCAGCCTGGGTTAATTTTTAGTCAGTGCAGCAAACATTGTCCCCACTTCAGTGCTGGGAATCCAGTCCCGTCCTGGGAACAGGGCCTTCCCTGAAGTCCCATGCCTGGGGAGGGACCAGGAGGAGAAGGGCCGAGTAGCATTGTTTCTTTAGCGCAAAGCCCCGGGTGTGGGAGCCACAGCTGGCAGAAGTCTTTCCCTTTAAACACAAAGGAGCGCTGGGATGCAGCTCCGTGGTCGAGCACTGGCCTGGCCCAGGAGGCCCTGGGCTGGGAGACAGACGGTCAGGGACGTGGAGAGGGGGTCGGTACAGCGCGGTGCCTTGGCTGCTGTGCATGTGGGATGGATGGAGCCACCTGCCTCGGCAGGGGCAGACTTCTGGGATGGGGCCTTGTACCCAGCCAGGGAGGTCCCGGGAAGGAGGAGAGGAAAGGCCTCCCTGCAGGGTGAGGGGTGACCCTCTGGGGTGTGGTGGGGGGTGATCTTGGGGGTCCAGCCTGGAGGTGAGGAGAGGTCACAGGGATGAAATCAGGCGGTAGGAACTTTGCAGCCACTGGAGCCCATGCTGCCTCCCCCGCTCTGGGCTCCTCACCTCCTTTGCTGCCCAGTGGAGTGCAGATGCCCCGGGCAGATGGCATTTGGGCCAGCTGGGCTACCTCAGAAGCCCTGCCTGCCACAGCAGCGTCCCGGGGCCACACCTCCCCAGGAAGGGGTCCCGACCCAGCTCCTGCTTGAAGGGGGCTGGGGCGCAGCCTGGAGAGACCCAGTGCTCCAACTCTCAGCTCCCCAGAGGCGTTGCCCAGGGGTGCTTGGGGCGGGGCCTCAGCCTGCCAGTTTGCAAGACTGGCAAGGGGAAGTTACAGATTACACAGAAAGTCAACACGGGGCCGAGAGGCTGGTGGGCCCGTGTGCCCTGCCTCGGGTCTGGTGGGGTCTGAGCAGGATGGGTCGGAGTGCCTGGTTCATTGGTGAGTGTTCGAGGGTGCCTGTGACTGCACACCAACTCTTCTGGCTCCTGGATCCCAGCTGCCTGCGTGTGGTGGGTGGATACAGACACGGTGTCCCTGTGTCCACCAGGGAGGATAGGAAGCCACATTCCTGATCTGTCTAAGCTCAGACATAAACTAGGGCCGGGTGGGCTGGGGACACCAGCACCAGGACCAGGCAGGCTGTCCAGATGACACAAGGCACATGCTGTGCTTCCAGCTCACTCGGTGCCCATGCTGCCGTCAGTTTTAAGGACCCCTAGCTCTTGGCAGACAAGATCCCAATATCTTCGGATGATCCTGAACTGCTCACTAGTCTTTGAGCTTCCCCTCGAAGCAAGGTTCCCCCTGGACAGCAGGGTTGTGCTGGAGCCTCTGCCCTATCTTTCGCTCAGTTTTGTTTTGTTTTGAGACAGGCTCTCATTATGTAGTCTGGGCTGGCCTTCAACTCACTATGTCGCCCAGGCTGGCCTCAAGGTCGTAGTGATCCTCCTGCCTCAGCCTCCTAGGTGCCGGCATGACAGGTGTGCACCACCATGCCTGCCTGTAGCTTGCTCAGTTCTTGGGGCTTCCATGTGCTGAGACCCTGCCTTCCAGGGTGGGGGGCTCCCAACCTCACCCCTTTCTTTAGAAGACTCTTCCTTTACACCTGAGCTCTTTGAGCCTCAGAGGCTTCTGGCTGTTTATCAAGAGAAAGTAACAAAGCACAGTCGTACTTTCCTCCGCGGTGGTGAAATGAAAGTAACCTCAGGAAGGTGAAGGCTTTCTAGGTGGGGAGAGGCCCCTGGGCTCGTGTCCTGGAGACCCCGCCAGCCTCAGCCAGGTGTAGTAGGACAGGCTGTATCTGTGCCTCTTTGTTCTGACCCACATGCTCCACTGTGAGAAAAGCCTTCCTCCCGGGACTCCCATGCAATCATACTCCCCGCTGGGGTCCCTTCTGAGACTGAGGGCCTGGATCCCTGCTCACCTGGCTGCCCTTTGTCTCTGTGGCTCCACCCCACCCCCACCCCCTGAATGAACAGAACAAAAACAAGAACCAGCCCCCAGCTTTGGCTCAGCAGAAAAATACCATCTGACCCAGAGGCAGCTCTGGGAGCCCTGCCATGCATGGAGGAACCTGCTAACTCCTCAGGAAAAAAAAGTCCTGACGCAAACCAGATGTAACCTCTTGTCCGGCTGCCAACATCTGGAATGCTACTGGCAGGGCCTCGGCACTCTGGCCTGCAGTGCACTGCCAAGCCTCGCATTTCAGAGGTGGCTCTGATGTCTCCGGCTCAGCCCTGCGGCTGCGCTGGCCGTGGAAGGAGGAGCTCAGACTCCTGGATGCTCGGAGCTGGGGGAGCCTGAGGGGGTCCCTGGAGAGGTTGGGAACCAGCCTGCCGCTGGGTCCCCAATGGCCTGGGGGCTGAGGTCTGGGGCAAGACTTAGAGGTGCAGGGCCAGGGGCATTCGAGGGGCCCTTCCTTTGGTCCTGGGGCCATGCCAGGTGTCCCATTCCCATGTACGGACACATGCACACGCTTTCCCGTGCAGGCGTGCATGCTAACTCCCACCCAGGCTGTGGGGAAAGGGTTCGGGGCCGGATTTCTCCTCCCCCATGGAAAGTCTGATTCTGGACCTTCCTGTCAGGACAGCAAGGTGTAACAGCAGCGGGCGCAGAGAGGGATAGGGATGGGCCATGAGAGGGGACAAGATCCAGAGGGCCCAGCCCCACCTTGACAGGCTGCAGACCTCCCTGCAGGGCCCAGGGGACCCTCCTGCAGCTGGTGACTCAGCCGAGGGTGGCCTGGGCGGGGCGAGGGACAAGCCAAGTGCTGTGGGCCGGGCTGGCTCGAAGCCCCATTCTTCCAGCTGCTGACCTCTGGCCTTCTCACCCGGCCGCAGACAAGGATGAGGGCGAGCATCCCAACAACAGCTTCAGCCCCTGCAGTGCCCAGGACCGCAGGTGCATGCAGAAGCACCTGGCCAAGCTGCGCGACCGGAGCAGCAGCGGGGGCAAGATGAAAGTCGTTGGGACACCACGGGAGGACGTGCGGCCTGTGGTGAGGACCACCAGATCTGTGCTGTGCTCACCCCGCGGCGGGGGGCTCAGGGGCGGCTCCTTTCCTGGCCACCAGTGCACGGAGCGGCGTAGCGGAAGGGACCGTTGGGCCTGAAATGCTTCCATGCCGGTGGTGCCCCTGCTGGTGGGTGATTCCGGGGACCCGGGCCTGGGCCTCTGTCTCTCTCGCCTGGTAGCGCCCCGTTCCCCTGGGGCCCGCGCTTTACACCCCGTCCTGGTCCCCAAGCCCAGCCCTGGGCTGGCATCTCTCTCTGGGCTGACCAGTCCTGTTCTCCGCCCCAGCCGCAGGGCTCCTGTCAGAGCGAGCTGCACCGCGCCCTGGAGCGGCTGGCCGCCTCGCAGAGCCGCACACACGAGGACCTCTTCATCATCCCCATCCCCAACTGTGACCGAAACGGCAACTTCCACCCCAAGCAGGTGGGCCCTCGGGGTCCCCGCCTGCCGACCAGGCAGCTGGAGGGAGGTGTAGGAGGGGGGTGTCCCCAACCCAGACCTGACCCTTGGGTCCCCAAGTCTGACCCTTTGGGAGATGAAGACACTGGGGCCCAGGAAGAGCCCAAGTCGCTGAGTGAGTTTGTGGCAGACTGTAGCTCCTGGCCAAATGCATATTATTATCATTGTATCATTATTCTAGGACTTGAGCTCTGGGCCTTAAACACTCTACCACTAAGCTACATCCTCTTTTTTTGAGATAGTCCCTAAATTGCCTAAGCTGGCTCTGATCTTGGGATCCTCCTGCCTCAGCCTACCGAGAAGCTGGGATTATAGGCGTGCACCACAATGCTAAACTCAGTTTCTCCTGTTATTAACATCTTATATCAGTGTGGTACACATGATGCATTTGATGAGCCAGTATTGATAGGTGATTATTAACCCAAGTCCAGAACTCACATCAGGGTCGCTTTGTATGTTCTCCAATCTATGTGGGCTTTCTCTGCCCAATTCTTTTTTTTGGTACTGGGGATCGAACTCGGGTCCTTGCACCTGCGCAGCAGGCGGCGAAACCACTGAGCTAAATCCCCGGCCCCTCTCTGCCCAATGCTTATCAGAGTGGAAGTGGCGATGTTTGATCCTTTATTCCCAGACCAATTCTGACTCTTGAGCCAAGTTCATTCCAGCTTGAATTCTGACTCTGAAGATATACTCTGACCCCGACGCTGGGTGCCCCGTCCTTGGCCTTCTGTCTTCACCCACCTGGGCTCCAAGCCTCTCCTGGGTCAAGTTTGGGCCAGAATTCCAAACCCAACAATGCTCATCCTTCCTGCCCCACCCCACCTGGGTCCTGCTCGGGGCTACAGGCCCGCTGTGAAAGTCTCACCCCACCAGGATGCACCTGCCTCTTGGTCCTGCTGGGCTTGAAGCCCCCCTGGAGCAGCAGCTGCCGATGTGGGGCTGGGCCGTCACTGCGCCCACTCCTGTCCCACCGCCAGCTGACCCTGTGACCTTGTCTTGGCAGTGTCACCCAGCTCTGGATGGGCAACGTGGCAAGTGCTGGTGCGTGGACCGGAAGACGGGCGTGAAGCTCCCAGGGGCCCTGGAGGCCAAGGGGGAGCTGGACTGCCACCAGCTGGCCGACAGCTCCCGAGAGTGAGCCTGGCACGGGGAAGGGGCTTCGTGCCGCATTGCCCCGAGCTCCCGGGCTGGAGTTGGCCCGGAAATTTCTCTTGGGGTGTGTGTGTGTGTGTGTGTGAGTGTGCGTGCGAGTGCATATGCATTTATGGACACAAGTGCACTCAGTGTCCTTTGGGGCTCAGACAGCCCAAGAGGTTCAAGTACACAGTGGGGAGCCCAGACGTGTTTCCAATTGATCCTGGATTCTTTCACGTATTCATTCATCCACCTGAAAACATTTATTGATCACGTACTACGTGCCAGCGCCAGTTCTCCGTCCTGGGAGTCTCCTCCCAGCTCCCTGGGAGGGTGGGAGGAGGAAGTCTAGTTCCCGGAAGAGAGGAGAGGAGAGCAGGGAGACCCAGGAGGCCCAGGGGCGTGGCCCTCAGCGGCCCAGGTACTTTGTCCTCGGTGCGGCACTGGGGAGGGACAGCAGTCGGAGGAGGGCTGCACACCACACGGGTGTGGGGTGGCCGCGTGGAGGCCGTGGCCGGGCTTCCTGAGCCGCGCATGGGTCCTGCTCCCGGCCCTGCTGGTGATCATGCAGTCGCCAGGGGACCCCCTTCCCTGGCTCTGCCTCCTGCCCTGCTCTCCTGGCCTTGTAGCTCCCTGCTCCCTGGGCTTTTGCAGCGTGGCTGGAGGGCAGGAGACTTGGGGACCCGCTGGCCGCCTGCACTGTCTTTCTTTCCATTCATTCTTTCTTTTCTTTTTTTTTAACAAAACAGAACAAAACCAAAAACATCCCGATCATTGTGTTGGTTGACTTATTTACAGAGGCGCCCCGGAGTGGAGAGAGTGGGCTCAGCCCAGCTGTGCCTGCGAGGGGGAGCCTCCCTGTCCGAAGAAGGAGAGTCAGGTGGTCAGACCCCCGGGGGGCAGGCGGTGGCACCGAGAAGAGGGAGGGAGGCCAGGGCCGTGAGCAGCTGGTCTGTGGAGCTCGGCGTCCTGCAGGGGACCAGGTAGCCGGCTCCGCATCTGGATTCGGTTTACTGCAGCCAGGGTGGGGGGACAACAGCGCACCCCCCCGCGGTGACGCCCACATCCCTGACTGGGCGTGGGGCTTGTGCTGCGCTTGATGCTGAGGCCTTGGGAGTGGGGACACCTTGACTTTGGCATAGGCTTAGTATTTGTGCCTGTGTGGCTGCTTTATTTTTGGTACCGGGGATTGAACTTGGGACCTTGCGCTTGCACAGCAGGCGCCGGAACCACTGAGCTAAATCCCCAGCCTGTGGCTTCTTTTTTTTGAGCTACTGGAACCCAGGGGTGCTCTGCCACTGAGCCACACCCCAGCCCTGTTCATTTTCTATTTTGATACGGAGTCTCGCTGAGGTGCCCAGACTTAGCCTCGAACTTGCAATCTTCCTGCCTCAGCCTCCTGAGTAGCTGGGATTGCAGGTGTGTGCTTCCGTGCCCAGCCAGACTTCGTGTGCACATGGATTCTTCCGTCTTCCAGGGCCTGTCCTACTCTCTCAGCCTCTAGAGGGGCTGCCAGGCTTGGACTTCACTGCGCCCGCCCCACTGCCTTCGTACTTGTGGGGCTGGTGAGCTGTGAGCCTGCCAGCGGCCAGAGGTAAAGAACAAAGAGGTGCTCCTTGGCCCCTGGCAGCTCTTCAGAGCCCCATTCCCGGGCCCTGGCCGAGGCTTGTTGTGGTGGAAGTGGTGCAGGTTGCGATGAAGTCCCAGGTCCCTGAGCCGAGTGCAGGAAGCACCCCCCCCCCAAAGCCCCTCTGCTGTAACCTCGGTCCTGGCAGGGGCCCCGAGGGGGCTGTCTCCTTCCATGGGGAGCTCAGTGTGTGCCAGGCCTGGGCTCAATCCCCAACACACACTTGCACATGTACACACACACACACACACACACAGACACACGTGTGCCTGGAAGAAGACACAGGGATGTCCCGGGGTGTGGCTCGCCTCTGTGATGCCCATGTGTGCTTGTGCATGTGAGTGTGTGCTTGCATCAAACATGCACAGTGGTGCTGGAAGGGCAGGGGGAGTTTGGGGGTGCCCGGCTGTCTGTGATGGTGTGGGCGGGACGCACACTCAGGTGGTGGTGTGGACCCACTGGCTGTGTGAACTGGAGTGTGTGTCTGGGTGTGAGCTCACGTGGGATGTGAGCGGGGATGGAGATGTTCACAGAGCACGCCTCCCTCAGGGTCCCCTCTGAGGGCCGAAGGCAGCTGTGTGGCACTGCAGAACGGGGGCTATGTGCTTTGGGGGATCCACATTCTGCCCAAAGTCTGCTCCCTCTCCTGGGCATCTTCCCCCACATCCCAGGGGCCAAAAAAAGAAAATGTCAGTCTGGGCATGGTGGTGCACGCCTGCAATCCCAGCACTTGGGAGGCTGAGGCAGGAAGATCGCTGTGAGTTTGAAGCCAGCCTGGACCGCATAGTGAGACCCTGTCTCAAACCCCCCCCCGCCCCGTACCAAACCAAACCAAAGGAACCAACAAAGAAAAGAACAAGCTGTGGACACTGAGGCCTCCTCAGCCTACCCTCTGGACCTCGAGCAGCCCCTTGAGCTGCCCAGGAGTGGGCACCGTGGGCGGTGTGGGAGGGAGGTGTTGAAGTCCCGACTCTTAGGTCCCCAGGGCCCGGCTGAGCTGGGAAGCTGTGTGCAGGCTTTAAGCGGGGAGCGGGGGACTTGCCCTCCGGGCCCCGGGCCGGCTGGTGCGGGGTGCGGGGTGCGGGGCTGCGCACATTTGGTTTCCATTTCCCTCTCCTCAGCGGAGAGCAAGCCCTGATGCTGCTGCCAGCGGGGGCTGGGCCTGCGCGGCGGGAAGGGAACGTGGGCGCACAGACGGCTCCCCTGGACTCAGGCGGGGCACCGGCCCCCTCCAAGCTCCTGTCAAAGCCCATTGTCCTGAGCTCTCTGCCCGCGGAGCCGGATTCTGCCACCAACTGCTCTGGGAACGGGAGAGATGGGGCGCCTCTCAGTCCCTTTCTGGGGGACACAGGACTGCACACCATGGCGGGGTGACCTCTGCTCCAGAGTCAAGGCAGTGGCTGGACGGAGCTGGGAGGCTGCAGGAGCCGGCCCGTGGTCCTCGGGGAAGCGGGGCGAAGGGCTCTGTGTGTGAGAGATGGGGGGATCTTCAGGGTGGAGGGGGGAATGTGGACCCCGAGAGGGGCGGGCAGGGAGACCTCACCCAGCCAAGCAGGCTCTCATTAGGTCCTCGCTGTCTTAGTGACCTGGCCCCTCCCGCCCCCCGTCTGAGGGTCCCCGGGGCTGGGGCAGATTGGGGTCAGAGAGCAGGAGTCGGGGCCCGTGACACATAATCAGAACCATGCTCTGCTGCAGCAGCAGGCACCACCCAGCCCACCGCCCAGGACCTTGGCAACTCCAGCTGCCGGGGAGGGGTGGGGCCGGAGCAGGGCCTGGGCTGGGCTTCTCGGGCCCTTAGGCGGGCTCTGCAGTCAAACAACATATTTTCACCATGCAACGGTATTTAATTACACATAAAAACAGAGCCATTAAACTGAAATTAAACCCTTGTTGGAATCACTTAATTCAGGGCATGACAAATTGCTTTTAGTGGAGGCGGCTGAAGTCCCCTGGGGTGGGGTGGGGAGAAGCCCGAGATTAGTGGCTTCCATAGCTGGCCATGTCCCCCACTCTCTTGGCCCCCTTTGCCAACTCTGAATTCTCCAGCGAAGGTCAGTGCCCTCTTCCTAGGGGCCACCCAGGCCAAGGGGGAGCGGGCAGGCTCAGCTGGCACTGCAAGAAGCCGGGTTGTGGAAGCAGTCACCGACCCCCAGGCCATTTTCCTGATGGGGACAGTGAGGCCCGGATACCAAGGTCACCAAGCCAGGGTCGGGTCAGAGGAAGCGGGGCACGAGGTTCCTGTTTGACAGGGCTGGACTTCCTCCTTCTGTTTCCCTCTTCTCCCTGCTCTGGGCTGGTGGTCTTGGAACGTTGCTGGCCTGCATAGGGTGCTGATGGGGGGTGGCCGCTGAGGACAAATCCCACACCTTTGGGCCACCCTGCCGGGACTGGCACCCTGCACCACTTGCCTGGCCATCCCGAATCCTGGCTCAGCTGGAGGTCCCAAGGGGGGCACACTGTCCCCTGGTTTTCTGGAGTGGCCCCAGGCTCATTCCCCTCAACCTCAGCTGTGGCCTTGCAGACAGAGCAGTTCCTGCGCCAGGGCCAGGCTGGGGTCAGGGGGCAGACGGTTCCCCTGCCAGCCTGGCAGCTGCACAAATGCTGCACAGCTGGGCCACTCTCTGCACCCCTAGAGCCCGAACACCCACAGAGGCCAGGAGGGGCGGGTGCAGGCTGGTTGCTGAGACGGAGGGATGCCCAGGACTGTGATGCTCCAGAGTCAGGTTCCGCCGCCCCTGGGAGTCAGGGCTGAGAGGGAGGACAGCTGGGGACAGCTGGGGACAGGCGCTCCCTCCCCCTCCCCGGGCCTGGGGGTCTCTGCCGCCCTTCCGGCTCCTTGTCTTGAGTGAAGCCAGAGCGCGGAGGCTGGGGCAGCTGGGAGGGGGGAAATGAGAGCCGACTGCTCAGGAAATCAGCGCAATTTTCCAGAATCGTGAAACGTTACTTGGACAATAGAGGGTTCCCCCCCCCCCCCAAAAAAAGTTCAATTGCCTTTGGCTGAGCTGTTTCCCAACTTCATTTCTCAGCCGCAGTCCAAGGGTTCTCATTGGAAGCGACATGTGACTGCTCAGTGACCCCAGGCTGGACGCAGCAGTGTGAGGGGTCAGGCCAGGCCAGCATGGGACCCAGAGCCCCGGGTCAGTTCTGGGGGCCCTCTCTGGGGAGCCTCAGCCACCAGCGTCCAGGCTGATTAGGGGCTGTGATTCCGAAGAGGGCTTGTGCTAAACAGCAAATGGGGCCTGGAGAACCGTGAAAATGCTCCTGTTCTCTTTTTCACCGGGGGAGAACAGAGGCTGCCTCTAGAATGCATGTGTCGCCTCTGGGTAGGGGCAGTCTTGGGGCTGTGGGGGGAGAAGGCCCTGGGCTGGGGGAGGGCCTGCCCGTGCAGATGGGCCCTGCAGGGCCCGCTGGGGGCCTCAGGGACCTCCTGTGCCCGTTACAGGGGCAGGGACCAGGGTTGGGCGGGCCCGCCTGAGGGCAGTGATGAGCACTGGGCAGGAATGGGTCAGAGGCCAGGGCGGCATCTCTGCCCCAACATCCCCAGGGAGGGTGGAGCAGGGTGATCTCACACATAGGAAGGGCCGTTTGGGCAGCAGAGGTGCTTAGGAGCTCATCAGGGCTTGGGAAGAAGGAAGAGCTGCAGCCCCAGGGGAGGCCGATGGTTGTGTATGGGCACAAGAGGCTGCTGGGGGCCACAAACCTGGGTATGCAAGGGTGGACGCATACACCCAGCTCCAAAGGCACAGGAAGGCAGTGGAAGGGGTCTCCCTGTGGCCCTGCATTTCCTCTAAGGTCCTTTCAGCCCCTTGATCACGACGCATGCCAACCTCAGGGCCTCTGCATGCGCCATTCCCTTGGGCCAATCACTCTTGCCCTGGGCTCTTCAGCTTTTACCCCCAGTATCACCTCCTTTGAGGACTCCTTGCTGGCTGTCCCAGGCAGAATATCTCCCTCCACATTACTTCCTGCCATGCTTGTTTGTTTCCTGTATTAGGTTTCCCCCGATTGCTATTTTCTGTTTTTCGGAAATACTCTCCTATCTTCATGTGCACAGCGGGCATGCAGATGTTTGCTGGGTGGACACATGAACAAAGGAAGGGGCCCTGGCTGGCGGCTTCTCTCTGCAGGCCTGGGGACAGCTGTGGCGCAGAAGCCGCCCGAGACAGGAAATCTCAGTGAGACAGGAAGCCAGAGGTTGCCACCTGGGGGGACAGGGGTTGCAGGACACAAGTGCCTGCTTTCAGGCAGAGGGGCATGAGTGGCTTTTCCAGCGTCCTGAGCAGCCGGGGTGAGGGACAGAGCTGGGGAGAGGACTTGGGCCCTACTGGGGTAAGAGACAGGAGAAGCAGACGGCCCTGTGCCTATCCTGCTGTCCCAGGAGGCAGGGGACTGGCTCGGGTGACCTCGGTTCTTCTGCTCGTTTGGGTTCACGTTGCCTGGCTTCGAATCCTGCTGTGCTGTTCAGGACAGTCGCCCTCAGGAATCTACCCAACCTCTGAATCTGCGGTCCCACATCTAACAGAAGTCCTAGGGCTTGAGGGGCACAGGGGAGGTATGGGAGAAGACACAGCCGAGTTGGGGAGGGGCCCTGTCTGCGTGGGGACAGCATGGAGCACGTCCCGCCTGGCTGTGTCTGGCCCATCAGCCCCATTCCGCACTGGGAGCTGGGTAGCTGGGGAAACTGAGCCTCGGTCTTTCCCACCCTGGGCCACCTCCTGGCCAGCGGGGCTGCAGGTGGGGAGGCGGGGCCCTGTGGAGAGGGGATATTGACTGAATTCACCCAGCCCGCTGTGATTCCACTTAAGAGGCGGGGAGTTTTAGGGCTCACTGAGGTTAAATGGAGTCCTGACGCTATAGGATTGGTGGCTTTAGAAGAGGAAGAGAGTGATTTCACGGAGACTGAGGAAGGAGAATCTCCAGTTCAAGGCCAGCCTGGGACACAGAGTCCAAGCCAGCTGCGCATACACCCTGAGGGTACTGATGTGAGAAGGGATCTGGGCCCAGAGCAAGCTGGTGCCTCCCCGGCCTGTGGGGAGCTGCAGCCCCTCTCCCGAGCCTCCCCCTACTTCCTGTTTGAGGGCCAAGTCCTCTCCACTTCCTCCTCCCAAGCCCTTCTCCCCCAGGTCTCAGGTCCTTCCTTGCACCCCTAGCCATGCTTCTAGAGCACAAATTGTCAGTTCCTCCTCTGCCCCAAAGCCTCTCTCTTACCTACATGAAGTCCAAGCAGGTTGCCATGTGCAATTGTGCACTGCAGAACCTGCACAACTGTACAAGTGGTCCTGTGTCCAACCTCATTCATTCAAAAACACTCCTTCTCAGCTTGGCACAAAAGGTTCCTGATGACCCTGGGGCTTCCTACAAAACAGAACTGGACATATGAAGTGTCTCACACTGGATTTAGCACATGGGATTCCCTCCAATAAAAGTTGGTTTCCCCTCTTTGCATGGCAAACTCCTATCCACCCTTGAAAACCCAGCTCAAATGTTAACTCCGTGGAAACAGTGCCCTGCTCCCTCCTGAGAAAAGCCGATCTTGCCCAGATGCCCCTCTTCCGGCCGAGCCTGCCTGCTGCTGGGAAGTGCGGGTTGCATGAACGGGGACAGCAGCTGCTGATTGGAACCTGCAGCCTCCACCCTCTACCCTGGCTCTGAGCCCACAGACTCCTGGGTGGCACAGGGTGAAGGCCAGGCAGGCTCAGACGGGCTGGATGTGAGCAGGCAGGGCTGGGACCACAGGGCAGGAGTCCGGTCAGGGTGCGGGTGAGAGGTTGCAGTCCCCCCGCTGGAGGACATAGGGCGTGGGGTGTGGGCATCAGGTGGCCCCTTCCCTGCCCAGCTGCCCCTGCTGTGGCCCAGGCCCCAGGGTGCGGCGGGAGGGAGGGAATCGATCCTCTGAGGCCCTGCACTGTGGTGACCCTGCACGTCCTGCAGCCTACAGGGGGCATCGCCAGGGACAGGCGAGGGAGGGGGTGGCCAGCTGGCAGGAGCTGGGGAGAGCCCAAGGCCCAGGGTGGGATGAAGGGGCCATTGTCCAGCGGCAGGCCGGGCCGGTGGCTCGGGTCACCCGGGTTCAGGGATCCTTCCGGACTCCCCGAGCAGCTCCGGCGCCACCAGCGGAGGCAGAGGCAGGCACGGGGGAGGGGGGCAGAGTGGCCGATGGAGCTGTGGTCGGAGGGGGGAGGCCTGTCTAACCCGGTCCTGTCTGACGGGGTCTCCTGTGTTGGGGACCCCATCCTCGGCACTGGGGCGACAGACACTTTCTTTTCTGGTAATGGGAGTGACATGGGCACTTAGGGGGACAAGAGGACTCTGCCCGCCCCACAGCTGGGCCCGGGCCCAGCAGCCTTGAGAACCTGGGCGACCTGCAGACGAGTGCGGGCCAGGTGGGCGCACAGCCAACCGGGCCGCAATCTGATGTTTCCCTCAGGCCCGGCCTCGGCCAAACACAGCGATGCTCTCGAGACAGCGGTGCCCGCTGGGATGCAGCTGGCGCGCCTCCAGGGCTGCCTTCCCGGGGGAAGCGGCGGAAAGGCTCCCGCTCTCCGGTCTCAGGCGGCCGGCCTCAGTATTCCTGACTCTCTGCTGCCCCCTTGTGGCCGCGAGGCCGGGGGCCACCCGCGGCCACACGCCCTGGAAGCCGCGCCGGAGCCCCAGCGTCTCTGCCCGCACCTCCCACGCGTGGGACAGTTACATCGGCAAGTCTAGGTGTGCGACACCAGCCACTGCCGGGCAGGTGGACCCAAAGGCCACCGCGAGAGCGTCACCAGCCTGGAGCAGAGGCCCCACAGGTCCCCACACAGGTCCCGGCAGGAGGGGCCGCCGACCCCTACACCCGCTCCACCTCCTGCAGCAGCGCCACGACCAGGCGGATGACCTGCGCCGCCGGCTGCACCGCGTCGTACTCGGCGAAGAGGTGGCACACGTTTTCCTGCGCTTCCGTCTGGTTCTTGGCCACGAACCCGAAGATCCTGGAGGGAGAAGGCAGTGTGTGTGGGAGGTGGGGGTGTCAGGCCCTCCTCTGCCCCTGGATGGCTCTCACCATGCCACAGCGCCCTGCAGGAAGGAGCTGCCTCCCCCCAGACCCGCAGAGCCCCGAGTTCAAGCTCTGCGCCTCCATTTTGCCCGGGGGACCAATCCCTGAGGACAGGAGGCTGCCTGAGGGGCAGGGGGCACCCTGAAAATCGGATGGGCCCCCCCTAGGCCGAGGCTCCTCAGTAGAGCCCGTGTCTCCTGCAGGAGATGAGGGTCCTCCCTCAGACCCGGGCTCCCCCAGGACAGGGTCTGTGTCCTCACCAATGCCTTGGACTCGTGCAATTCTTGCAGCACTAGGGATTAAAATCAGGGACTTTTTCCCAGCCCTTTTACAGTTTTTAGCTTGAGTCAGGGTCTCACTAAGTTGCCCAGGTTGGGCTCAAACTTGGGATCCTCCTGCCTCTGCCTCCCAGTGCTGGGATGGCAGGTGTGTATGGTGACATCCAGCCTCGAGCTTTCCAAGGCCTTGAACTCGAGGCAGGATGGGGCCTCCCTCTGTTGGGTCTGGGGCCCCATCACAGGGACCCCTCCTGGGGCCGTGCACCGAGAGCTCACAGGCCTTACCGGGAGGGCTTGCAGTACTTCTGCCACCTGTGGGAGGAACATGCTGGTCCTGAGCCATCAGCCACGCCGGAACCCTGCTCCCCCTGAGCCCCTTCCCTTCCCGACTCCCTCTGCCATCGAGATCCCAGAACCCCAGGGCACCAGGAGGGCGGCAAGGCCTTGAACTTACTTCCGCTGCTCGGGGTCCGTGCCACAGAAGCGCAGGGTGCTGAGTGGGTAGTGGCGCCGGAAGAAGACCCTGGGCAGGCGGGGAGAGGAGAAGCCACGGTGAGGGGCTGTCCCGGCGCTAGGTCCGCCCCCCACCACGTGACGCCCTTACTTCCGCTGCACGTCGGTCAGCGTGATGCCCTGCTCGGTGACTCGGAAGTGGACCACGGTGGGCGTGGGGAGGACATCCTGCTCCAGGGTGGCCGAGATGGCTTTCTGCACGGCTAGAGCCCCGCTCAGGGTCTCCACGCTCACGGAGCTCAGGTACAGGGTGTGGCAGCCTGTGGGCCAGGGACAGTGCTGGGTGGGCGGCCAGGGACCACGAGGGGAATCAGGGTGTGTGGTGACCTCCAGATGGGCCGGCCGGGAGGGGCTGTCCCGGAGAATGTCTTTGGTCCGGACCATGGCCACCCCTGCCCACACCTCCGCCCTCGGTGACGAAGACAGGATGGGGAGGTGACACCCACAGGAGTGCGGATTTCCACCTGGCTTCTGACCTCTAGACCTTGGGGGGTTCTTTCCTGGGTTGAAGCAGCCAGGACCCAGACCTATGGCCCCATAGAGGACACCCAGGGCAGGCGCCTGGGGCCCGGAGACCCCGGCTGGTGGGTGTGGCCCGTGGGGTTGTGAGCCCTACCCCCTGCACTCCGGGCCCTGGTGGGGTGAGGGGCACGCGGCGCGGGGCTGGGGGTGGCAATGGGCGGGGCCTGTGTGCGCCTGCGCCTGTGCAGGGCTGGGACGTGCAGGGGGGAGGGCCCACGACACTCACCTGCAGATTTCTTGGGGCTGGAGGCCCGGCTGTCTGTGGGGGGCTCTGCGGCTCCGTCTGCAGCTCCCAGCTCTGAGCCAAGGCGAAGGAACAGGCCCCCGAGGAGCAGGTGGGATGAGGGACCCCTCAGGGTCCCCTGGACCAATCTCCCTCCCCTGCCTCGGGACTTCGATGATTACACAAATGGGGCCACTGGGGGTCCCCGAGGGCCCAGCCTGCAAGCCTGTGACCCCAGTCTCCTCCCTGCCCCCCAGGTCCTGGACCACTGCCTTGACCGTATGTATGCTTGACCTTGTCCTCCCAGGCCCTTGGCCCCGACTTCCTTCTGACCCCACCCCAACGCCAGGTTCCTCTTTGCGGGAAGTGGGGACCCTCACCATCCCTCATCTGGGGCTCCCGGCCCTGAGTCTTCTCCCAGAAACTCCCCTTGTCTAGCTTGCCCCGTGCACCCTGAAAATGACCCCTCCCTCAGGGCTGAGTTTGTATCTGTGAAAGGCGGATAGTGGCAGCACCATCTATCGAGTGAGTGCTCAAGAAATGTCATGGCGTGTAATCCTTGCACTCGGGAGGCTGAGGCAGGAAAACTCTTGCGAGTTGGAGGCCAGCCTGGGCTACCTCGTGAGTTCGAGAGCAGGCGCTTCTAACTATAACCGTAAAATAGTCCACAGCCAAGGTGGAAGCGACCCTGGGGCCCAGACCTACCTCGCTGCGGGATGGCGAGCGGGCAGGGCAGGGCCAGGGCCATGATGGAGTGCTGGCACACGAAGGCAGAGAGGCTCCCTGCGAGGAAACAGGTGCCCGCATGAGTTGGGTGTTCCCAGCCCAGGCAGCTCAGAAGGGTGGGTCTCCCATCCCGGGGGCCTGGGGCTGGGGGATGCGCACCAAAGTAGGGCTCCTCATCGGCTCCTTTGAGATGTACCCCTTTGGCCGAAGACTCGATGAGGAAGTGTCGGATAAGGTCACAGCTGTCCTCGCCTGTAGAGGAGAAAGTGCACGTGCATGCAGAGAAGGACAAAGTGCGCATGCGCTCAGGGAGGTGAAGGAGGAGGAAGAGCGCATGCGTGCTGGCAGGTCTCCCTTGCCAGAGCTGCGCGTGGGCCTCCTGCGGCCACACGAGGGGCCAGCACGTTTGCTCCAGGGACTGTCGGTCCCATTAACCCTTAGGAAAACTTCCTTCTGGTGAGAGTTATCAGGGCTTGTTCCTAATTACCAGATATCAGCTCCTCCATGGTCCGGTCTCCTCCCACCCCCGTCCATAGCTCTGTTATTTTCCACCAGATTATCGCTGCTGCAGCCAGGCTGGTGCTGGACTCTACCCCGCCACCTGCAGTGTCTCCCCCGATTTCCCAGGTGCAATCTGGGGGCTTCCGGGGGAGCCAGGTGCTTGTGCTGGGTTACTGTGCCTATCCACCTCCCTGAAGAGGTGCCAGCCGCATGGAGCCCTCGGAGGCCCTGGTTCCTTACCCAGAGCCCGGCACAGGGAGAGACCGCCGACGTGTGTGGGGGTGTGAGATACCATCCACGTGTGATGAGCTATTAAGCACACGTAATGAACTACCACACCCACGTGATGGGTTATGGCATACGCCCGATAGACCATCACACACAACTGATGGATTATCACGCACACAATAAGCTGGCACACGTGTGGTGAACCAGTGCATGCTAGAGGTGTCCGGGAGGTGAGCGCAGTGTGCATAGAAGTGGTTTTGGAGAAGAGAGCAGCCCTGGCAGGGTCGGAACCTGGAGGGAAAGGTGCTTTTCACGGTGCCTCAGGGTTGTTGGGAGCTGCCAAGGAGGGGGACTGACCTCCCAGGAGTACCCTGACCGGCCTGGGGACGTGCCATGAGCTAACGTGTGCTGGCTGCAGGAGGCCTGGAGGGAGCAGACTGGTGCCTACCTGATTGGTGGTGGGCGGATGCAGGGGCCTCGGGGACCTTCAGGGCCAGGCCAAAGGAGCCACGGTAGGAGGAGCTGTCCCTGATGACGAAGGCCCCTGGCTCCTCCCTCTTCAGCAGCTCTATGGCTGGAAGATTCTCCGGTCAAACACAGGTCCCACCCCACAGAGCCTCTCGGTCCCCAGCCCCACGGGATCTTCATGAAGCAGTGTGACGAAGTGACCTTTCAACCCAGGAAGTCCTTCTAGTGTCTAATCTGCCATCTGTGCTGCATTTCTGTTTCCTCTCGAGGTCAGCAGGACAGTAGGACACCCCCTTCCCTGGACACAATATTTGCCACCCCTTCTCCCCTTTGTTTCATGACCAGGGCCCCACCTGTCCAGCACACTGCTTCTCTTTACCTTGCTCTCGAGTGATACTCGGCTTAAACCAGTATTTAGATGTATCCATCACGAACTTCATGGTGGGTTGTGTGTCCCTGCTAGGACCTGAACACAGACAGAGAAGGGGAACAAAGCAGGCTGAACTGAGAGTTGCTGGAAGGCAACCAGCAGAGAAGGCTGGGGACCCCACCCTGTTCTTCTGCCCAGGGCCCCCCTCCTGGCTGGATGTAATCTCTAAACTGCCTAAAGAGACACACAGCCATTCAGTGGGACTCCAGGACTTGGCACGGAAATCTCCCAGTATCCTCTGTAGTGAATAAGAAACAAATAGATAACAAACCCAATGTTGCCTGGTGGAGGGACTGAACTAGGGATAAAGGATTCTCCTGTGCCTGTTTGCCTTCACACTCTCCTGGCCCTTAATAATTCTAAGAGTTCCTTAGGGATTCATCTGCTTGGAAAAGAAAACAAGAGAAGAGGGTGGAAGACGGCAGATCTGGGTGGCAGAGTTTTGCACAACTGTTCAGCACCTAAAGCCCAGAGGGGACTGAGTGGGCTAAACAGCCCTGAGGGTCTCTAATGCTCCAACAGTGTGAAATGAAAAGGAAATTTGTATAATGCGATAAGATCCTGGAGCATAATTAGTGACATCCTGGGACATCTGAAAAGCAGCCTGGGAGTGTCACGCGCTGGCTGCACGTACTCTTTGAGATGCCAAAGTGCCCATGTTGTTGGTCCCTAAGGCAGGGAGCAGTGGTTCTCAGTTTTGGCATCTCAAGAAGGTGTCTTGTGTCCAGCTCAGTAGAAAGAACTGGGTACTGCAATCTCCAATCTGCAAATGATTTGTCCGGGGAAAGAGCCGGGAACAGACGGGAAGGTCTCCCCTCGTGGCACCCTCTCCCTGCATGCATTGACGTGCATCTCACACCCTGTGCGTCACGCTGGAAGCTCTGGGTGGAGACTTCCAAGAGAGAGGCAGCGGCGGTGTCCCGCCAGGGCCCTGTGGTAGGAGGCGTGTGCGGGAGGTGGGGTGCTGCACCCCAGCATGTGTGTTTACTGCTTTGGGTTTCCTGCCTTGCGTGCTTGGACGCCTGCAGTCCCAGTCTGAGAAGAAGGGTGTTTGGCATTCTGTGGTTTGGGGCTCTCTGACTCGGAATGTGTGGCCTCCATTCCCCTGCGTGCCCTCTCTGTGCTCTCGTCATCCTCGGACGTCAGAGCGAGGACTAAGGCTCCCTCGGGCCGCCTTGGGTTAGTCACCAAGTCTGCGCCCCTCCCCCTCCTGCCTGGCTCTTACCCGGAAACCCAGCTGTCCTGCAGCTTCGAGGCTGAGTTCCGGTGTGTAGGGCTGACCCTGCTTCCTCCCTGTGTGGGGTCTCTGACCCCTGTTGCCTAAAGGGTGAAACCTACTTTTTGGCTTGGCATTCAAGACCCCTTGCAATGTGTCTCCAGATTATTTCTCAGCGTCCTTGCCCTGCATCCCAAATATTGTAGCCATTTCTTAAATATGCTGCGAGCTTGGACCCTGCCACGACTGTGGAGTCCTGCATCTTTACCTGTAAACCTTTCCTACTCTGTATGGCTTTTGGTTTTGGTCCATCTGTTTGTCCTTACAACCTGGCACAGGGCGTGTCACACACTAAGTGCTCAGTAAATGTTAGGCAAGTGTCGGCTGGCTGTTGCCGAAGCCCACTGGTGCTTTGTCTACTTCCCTTGCCAGGATTTTCCATTGCTGGATTACTGGTTTACAGCATACCTTCCGGGGCCATGGCAGAGGGGACGTCTGGCAGGGTCTGAGCTTGGCTCTTGGTTTCTGGGCAGGGGTGGCTGGGAAAAGGTCCTGGTGTCCGCTGGGGTGGGGCAGACCAAGGTGCTGGGCAGCCGTTGACCAGCACGATGGGGATGTCCACCATGGAGTTGGCAGTGGACGCCGGGCAGCTGCTGGCGTGCTCCATGGCCGGCGGAAGGGAGTGAGTCACGCTGGGCTGGACCGAGCCTGGGCCAGGGTTCCTGGGGGCCTGGACGCTGCCAGGTCTCGTGCACAGGGTCTCAGGGCCGAGGCTGTGGAGGCTGGAGGAGGAGCTGGCTGGGCTTTCCCAGGACCTCAGAGATGACTGGTGGCTGGAGACGCTGGCATGGAGGAGAGACTGGCTGCTGCCGGGGAGAGGGGAGGGCACATGTTAGGGTCTTGGCCCTCGTGCCAGAGCCAGGGTGCCATGGCTTTGACCAAACAGCGCTGCACACCCTGGGCCCATCCCAGCCCACCCGATGTCCTGCCGAAGGATGGACAAATGTCCCTGGGCTGCTGGGTCTCTGCTCATTTAGAGGCCATTGGGCCGGCCCCCGCATGGTTCCTCTGCCTTCCCAGCCAGAGCCCCAGGCCCGGGCCTGCTTGTTCCTCCCAAGAGCCCTGTGGACAGTTGGACCTGGGATGGACAGGTCCAAGGCAATGTGGACGGAGCCCAGAGAGAGGAGGAACATGAAAAGGGGGAGGGGAAGGGAGGGGCAGGCTCTGCTCCGAGCCAGTGGGCATGAGTGTGAGTCCCTGGCTTCCTGCCAGGCACTGTCTGGGTCCTCGCTTTGGAACTGGTGGGTGGGACCTGTGTTTGGTGTTCCTGGGGCATGACAGGGTGGGTGTGCAATTCTGCTGTGAGGCTGCAGAAAAGTGAGCGGTGAGCATTGGAAATAAAGCCTAGGCAGGTTGGGTCCCTGCTCCTGGGTCTTGCCAGCAGCGAAGAGAGCAGGCTTTCCTTTCCTGGGTGGCTTATCTCAGCCGCCAGAGCCCCTGCATGGCCGGTGTTTGGAGGTTTGCACGGCTCGCTTTGACAGGTTGTGCCAGGGCGGGGGGGCGGGGGGGGCAGGTGAGCCTTGTGAATACCGCAGCTCTGTTCCTGAGGAAGATGTGAGCTGAGATCTCTGTGTACTGAATTCTGCCCTAAACCCTCGAGGAGAGCGGAGACCGGAGTGCGAGTGATGGCAGAGAAGACAACCCGCACTGCTTTCATCTTCCTGTGTTTTTTTTTTTTTTTTTGGTACCGGGGGTTGAACTCGCCTTGCGCTTGTAAGGCAGGCGGCGGAACCACTGAGCTAAATCCTGCACGCTCCAGTTTGGCTCGGGCAGAGCCGGGGGCTCGCCCTGACGCTAGGGTGTGTGCGCATGCGTACTGCGGAGGGAGGGTCAGCACGCCGGAACCTACCTTCCGAACACGTAGCTGACGTCGGAAGCCGGGCTGGCCGACAGCACCGAGCCCCTGCTGCCCCGCTGGGGTGTCAGGGCCCTCGGCTCCTTCTCCAAGCTCGGGGAGGCCAGCAGCGGGGAGCCCAAGCCATGGGGGCCCGAGGCCCTGCCCCCCACGGAGGGGATGGCGATGCTGGGGGAAGGGCGGGGGGCGGGAGCCCTGCCCTGGCTCCCCGAGAAGATGAGGCTCTCGGCGCTGCTGCGGGTCTCCCGGGGGACGTCTCTGCAGAGGAGGGGGCCGCCGCCGCGTGGGGAGCCAAAGGGTGGGGTGACAGACAGGCTGGAGCTGCGCGGGGCACCGTCCTGGCCTCTCGGTCTCATCGAAGTGACTTCGATGTACTTGATATCTTTGGGAAGAGAAGTAGAGCACTGGTGAGACAGGGACTCCGGGATGGAAACTCTGGAAAGGGATCTCAAGAACGGTTGCCCCCCCCCCCCCCGCCCCGAGCTTTTATACAGTGAGGCCCAGACAGAATCGGCACCCAGTGCCACCTTCAGGACGCGTTCTAAAGTCACCCTTCGTGGCGTCGTCCCTGGGGCACGGGACAGACCTGGTTGGTTGGGAGATGTGGCCCTGCCAAGCATGGTCTCGGAACTTGCCAAGTCACTTCGAGCCTCAGTGTCCACACCTGCAGGACAGGGACGCTGTGTCCAGCCCCGGGCGTACAGGAAGGGCAAAATGGGATTGGCTCAGGCAGCAATACCTCGCCTGGCACACAGTAGGTGCTTAAAACCTGGGGGTCCTCTGTCTTTCCACCACTCCTGTCACTCAGGTTGCCTCAAGGCTGCTTCCCGTCTGCAGCCACGGCAAGACGGGGCTTTGGATGCTCAGTCACGCCCTAGAATCTCCCAGCAGGGTTCTAGAAGTCTTGCTGCCCTGGCTGCATCCCATTTCACTTAGATCAGAATCTGTGGGGACCCGGCCTCTGGTTGGACTGGATTGGTTGTGTGTTTTCTTAGTTTCCCAGGTAACTCCTAGGCATGGGAGCTTCCACTCTACCACTGATGGCCTCGCTGTGTCATGGCCCCGGGCCTGGTACCCAGGACGGAGTGGCAGCTCCACCCTGGCCTGGGGACCTACGTGTGCAGTAGTCTGTGCACCAGGGGTGCCCTGAGCTCCGTGGGACAGAGTCAGTGGGAACCCAGCCTCAATTCCTGTCTGTGACCTCCTGGGCCAGAGCAGTCTCCATCCCGCAGCCCCGCCGAGAGTCAGGAAGTCCCAGCCTGCCGGGCCACTTGGGCAAGGCTCCTGGCCGCTCTGGGAGTTCCTGCCTTTGCCTGGGCTTGTCAAAGGTGGGGGGGGGCATCAGGTGACCTGGGCTTCCGGCCCCAGGGGCTGCAGGGAGGAGAACAGGGGCACAAGTGCTGGCTTTGCCACCTTTCCAGCTGAGAAGCATTGGGGCTGGGGTGGGGGATGTCAACCTCTCTGAGCCTCAGTTTTCTTATCTGCATAGTGCAGACTAAATCCAAACTCAGAAGGATGTGCTGCTCGGTTGTAGCGGTGGAGCCTGGGCCGTGGGGGAGTCTCGAGGGAGGGGCCGGGTTTGGGGCAGCCCTGGCCAAGGTGGGTGCCCCTCTGCCCAGGAGGAAGCGGCCAGAGGATGCTGGGGGAGCACTTGGCGCGGTTAGGTTCTCTGAGAGGTGGCCAGACGCCACACTTCCACTTGCATGGGACTTGACAGTGTTTATCCCACCTCTGCCTTGGAACCTCGGAGAGCTCAGGGCAGGACAGGCTTTGTTTGTACGGAGGAGGAAACAGAGGCTGGAGGTAAGTGGGAGAGGATTGCACAACGGTCTTCATGGGGTGGTATGTGGGTACCTTGAGCCCATGCGCCTGCGAATAGGTGAAGTGCATGTGTCATTTACCCCTCGCCACAACCCTGCCGCAGGAGGAGATGGTGTTCATCCTCAGACCGAAGGAGAAACCGAGGCTCCTCAAGGTGAAGCGAGTCGTCCAGCGCCACATAGCCAGAGACGGTGGTGCAGCTCGCTTTAGGGGCCTGGTCCAGGAGGAAGAGGGGGCTCCTTGGGACCCCCTTCCAAGGCCCTGTCCTGAGAAGGTGCCTGACTGCTTCGGGAGGGCCTCTTGGCCTGGTGAAGCTCTGGCCGCCCACTTCCTGGGTCACCCCCACACCCCAGCAAAGCCCCTGCCCAGGGCTGAGCCTGGTCTTGTGAGTCACTGAGGTGGATGAGACTGGGCCCCCACCTTGTCCCTGGGGTGCAGCCGCTGTTTACGGGCTGCAGGGCAAGTCAGGGCAGGGCAGGGTGGCAGCAGGCACACGTGGGTGGGGGACAGAGGGCTGGCTACTAAGCACCCTGCCCTCAGGACTGGCAGGCAGCCTGGCCTGGCAGCAGAGCTGGAAAATGAAATGGGGCCTGTGCCAAAGATGGGGTGGGAGGTCTTGGGGAGCAGAGGGGGGATGCGGCGTGTGTTTCTAGGAGCCGTGTTCCCTGGGGACAGGGGGACCTTGAGAGCTTGTTTGGAGGTTCTAGCAGGGGAGCGCAGGTACTTGGATACCCTTGACCGAGGAAACGGTCCTCCTCTATCGGGGGTGGTCGTCCTCTTCGACCGAGCGTGCGCGCGCAGCTTCGGGAGGGGCGCACATGGAGCGGTGAGGGAGGAGGGGACACTGCCTAGCCAGCCAGATCAGCCGAATCAACCCTGGCGATCAGTGGGGTGACAGATGACACAGCCAAATCGCCCTCACATCCGACAGGGACTCCATAGGGCAGCTCTAAGGGAGTCAGGACCGGCCAGGTGCAGGGAGGCCGAGCCTCAGGACAGGACTGGGGGCCTCTAAGATTCACCATGTGACACCCCACTGGGCAGGAGACGAGCCCTGCCAGAGAGAAAATGGGACAGGGACGCTGGAGCCCAGAAACCCGGCTTAGAGGCCTGACCTAGCTCGTGCTAGCCCTGTGGCCGTGGGGCTCCACTTCCCTCCTAGAGCCTGTTTCCTCCCTGTAAAGTGAGGTCCCCTCTGTTTCCTTCAAGGGCCACTCCCCGGGGCCACAAGGGACCATGAGGGACATTTATCTACTGAAAGCCTGTCTCTGTCTAGGGCAGGTGTCCAGAAGGACTCCTGTGTTCAGGCTTTGAACCTGGCCAAGTTGGGGAGAGGACAGTGACCGTCTGTCCCTCTCAGCCCAGCCCGGGATCTGTGTCCAGCAAGCTTTGTCACCAGTGGCGGTGGTCGGCTCCTCTTAGTGATGGTGGAGAAATCCCTGCAGGGAGGCTGATTTGGCTGGGCCGTCTTAGCGGGTAGTAAGCTCTCAGGCAGGAGAGGTGTCCACGCAGGGTGAGAGGTGGGGCTTCCTCCTCCATCATCAGGAGCCAGGCAGAGCTTGGCAGCTTCGTTGGAACCTCTGAGCACTGCCAGCCTGCTGTGCTCACAGTAGCGTCTGAGATTGCTGCCCGCTGCCCATGGGCTGTGCTGATCACTGGCCCTTCCATGGAGGACGGGCGCATGGCCATCCACCCCTCCCTCACACGTGGATGCCCCATGGATTCTGTTCTTGCCCCAGCTGGCCCTGCCTAGGGGCACGAGCATTAGCACTGGGCTCCTCCTACCAAAACGCTAATCAGGTGCAAGATGCTTCCTGGGTGACGTACCCAGGACTGGCCGCAAGCAACCAGGAGCCTAGGGTGCTGGCCCCCATCCCAGAGCCTGCCCTGCCCTGGAGCCGGCCCTGCAACACCCTGAAGTTAGTAAAAACGGCCACTACTTTTGGTGATCTACAGGGTGCCAGGGTTTGAGACAAGCAGCCTTCGAGTGTGATTTCTTTTAATCCCTGCAATACCTTTTGAAGTAAGGACTCTGTCTCCATTCACAGAGTCACAAAGACTCCAGCTGTTAGGCTAGGCTGGCTCTGCCCCAACCCTGGTCCACCTCAGTTTTTCCCTCCATAAAATGCAGATGAAATACTCTGTGGTGGGTTGGAAGGTGACAGCGCTCAGCAGCTCCTGGTGCTGTATATAGTAAGTGCTCAGTGAATGGAAACCTCTCTAGATTCTGACTGTAATCATCACCGAGGCCGGGGGTTTAAATCCCCAGAGGCCTCAGTTTTCCCGTTTGTCTAATGGGGCACTATGACCTTTGTGCTCAGCGTGAATCCGAATCCAGAAGCAGGGATTTCCCGCTGCCCTTGGACTTGAATGCCCGTGTTGTCTTGCTTGCAGCAGCTTGTTAAGAGCTGATTGCTAAACTTTCAAGATTTTGTCCAGCTGGTTGCTAAACTCAGTCATTATTAAAAATCACATTAGAGAGCTGGGTGTGATTGTGCATGCCTGGGATCCCTGTACTCTGGGAGGCTGAGGCAGGAGGATCGAAAGTTTGAGCCCAGCCTGGGCAACTTAGTGACCTAGTGAAGCCCTGTCTCAAAATTTTAAAACGTGTGTGTGTGTGTGTGTGTGTGTGTGTGTGTGTGTGTGAAACTTAACATTTATCTCTTTTATGTAGCAGAGAAAACAGGCCAATAACTTGCTTAGGGCTGCACAGGACAGTGTGGCCCTCACCTCTGAGTGCATGGCAGAGTGCTCCCTCCTCACCCTGTGCCCCAGCTCCTTACCTATGGCTTCAGGCTCCTCCGGCTTGTTCCTGGAACCCTGGCTTTGGGCAGCTCCGGCCTGGGGGCCCCCAGTGCCTGGAGGAAGCAGCTGGAAAGTAGGGTCTAGTTCCAGGATCATCTGGTTGAGGGTCTCCAGGGAGAAGTCGATGTAGGGGTCTAGGTCCTTCGGGGTCCCCGAGTCTTTGGCGTCTGGTCGAGGGACCTGCTGGAGCTGGCCAGGGGGCCCCTTGCTGGGCATGGGGGCCATCAGGGCCTGGGCCCCCCAGCCTTCTGTGGTATAGTAAGGACACGGGGGTGGCAGGCTGGGGCTAGGTGCTGCGTGCAGGGTCGTCCTGGGCTCCTCAAGGGGTGCCAGGCAGGCAGTGTGGCTTCCCGCCAGCAGGGAGCTGGGCATCACCTGCGACATGGGAGCGCCGTCCCCAGCGGTTTGCTTCCGGCTTCCAATCAGCCTTGCTTACATCCCAGAGCTGTCACTTGTCAATGGGAGTTTCCGGGACCTGGGAGAGGCAGGGGTGGGACCAGAACAACTTCTGTTACTCCAACAAGGGCATATAGACCCCCTTGTTTAAAAGCATGGAGGTCGCTAGCCGGGCGGTCATTTCAGCTACTCTGGAGGCTGAGGCAGAAGGATCAAAAGTTCAAGGCCAGTTTGAGCTTCTGGGTTCCATCCTCACTACCACGGAACCAATAAGTAAGTGAATAAATAAGCAAATGCATGTGTCTGGAGCCAGACTGCCTGGGATTGCTTTAGTCACTCTAAGTTTGGGGAAGTTAATTAGCTTCTCTGTGCCTCGGTTTCCTTCCATATAAAATAAGCTGACATTTGTAAGATGCTTACAACAGTGCCGGCAGGTTAGCAGCTTTAAGTGACTTCCCTAGATGTTTATTGAACATCTGCTATGCCAGGCCTATTTTTATGGTTTTTTTTTTTTCTTGGTACCGGAGATTGAACTCGGGACCTTGTGCTTATGAGGCAGGCAGTGGAACCACTGAGCTAAATCCCCAGCCCTGGCCAGGCCTGCTTTTAAAGAAACACTAGGCACATTTACTGAGCGATGGCCGGGCACTCACGGCCCCGATGTTCACACACGATGCTTTTGCTGTTATCCCCCCATTTACAACGAGACAACGGAGGCACAGTGGGGACGAGTCCTTGCCCATGGCCATGCTGCCAGCAGTGCCAGAGCAGGCCCTTCCTGGAGGAGATTCCAGAGGTCGGCGGACAGATGGGGCATTGCTGAGCACCAGGGAGCGGAGCAGTGAGGTGGGCGGAGGGAGAGGTGGAGGACTGGCTGGCTAGACCCGCTGCCAGCCCAGCTCCAGGGCCGTGGGGACCTAGGATGTGTTTGGCTGGGGGTGGCCTCATCAGATGGTATTCACTCCCAGGGCCTGCACCTCACCTCGGTCCCAGCTTCCTGGTTTCCCTTCTTTCTGTTGCCTGACCTCAGCACCACGTGCTCCTCTCCCAGAGGTGCGGAGAAGGTAAGAGACCCAGGGACAGCTGAGAAAAGGGTACGAGGGTCCACCACCCACTCCCCACACCCAACACGAGGCTCTTGCAGTTGCTTCCTTCACGGTCTGTTTGTGACCAGCCGGGCCCAAGGGACCTGGAAGCCACTCCGGACCTTGAAGATTTGGATTCAGATTCTGACCCTGACCCTCTGCTTCCTCTTCTATGAGGCAAGGGTGAGACTTCCCGCCAGCATCCTCGCAGAGGTTTATAGCTGGCCGAGGTGGTGCAGGCCAGGGATCCCAGGACTCAGGGAGGCTGAGGCAGGAGGATTGCCAGTTTGAGCCCAGCCCGGGCAACTTAGCAAGACCTTGTCACAAAATTAAAAATTTAAAAAAGGCTGAGGAAGTAGCTCAGTGGTAGAGCTGGATGCAAAAAAAAGAAAAAATTACTCAAAATAGAAGAGAGAGATTACTGAGGTGCAGAGAGGGGTCCGTGGGCTCAAGGTCACATAGCCAGTTGTGACAAAAGCCAGGGCAGCTCCCCTAGGCCTCCCGGCACGCCCTGGAGGGGACGTGTGCCTATAAATGGAGTGGAGGGAGCCGGCCTCCGATCCTTCCAGGGCCAGGCGAGGACACGGAGCCAGCGAAGCCTGCCCTGGGTTTACTGGGACAGGACCGGCACACCCTGCAGGGCTCTGGCCAGGCCTGTGGAGGAGCCTGGGGATGCTGGCTGTGCAGTGTGGA